CATGGTTCTGGCACACTATACAGTGAATGGAAACTCCTGTACTTGGAATCAAATGAAGAATCGCTCCTTGTAGATTATTTTCTTCTGATTATTATTATTTCCTGTGCTTGAAAATAATCTGTAAAGAGATCCTTGTAGAGATAAGTGTTGGTGTTTTGGACTTTAAATTCTAATGAATAGAAACTAGAATTTAAGTGAGCATATATATAATTGTAACGTTTTATCTTTTGGAAGATTGTGTAAATTAATAATTAAGATTTTTTTATAATTCGTCGTAAATAGTATGACATTATCTAATTTTGAGAACATCGAAGATCATGTGAACCAAATTACTTTTTGCCTTCCAAAAGAATCAAATCTTTTGTATTATTCTTAGGACATAATAAATAATTAATTATTGGTATAGACGGAATCGCTTATCAACATAATTTATGTTTAACAGTTGTTTATATAAAACAAAGTTATACAAAGTTATGTATATAATATTACTGAGTCAAGATCATGAACAGCTCCGGAGTTGCGGGGCAAGCGCAATGAGGCACTGCGATCTCGGCCCAGAGCAGGAGAAGGAACGGAGAGATTTTTAGTCAGTAAGAGTCTGACACAAAGGGCGGATTAATGATCATCATTTGATGTTTTTTCCCTCACCAAAAAAAAGATCAATAACAGGTAGAATAATATTTAGGATTTTTTCTAATTCTTTATCAATAATAATGTGTTCCAAGCGGCTACTCCAAGCCAGGCCCCAGTCATCACATCGTAGTGCCTGCACCTACAGCCCCAGCTGGACATCAGCCGAGAGCCAAGTGTGGGAGAGCCATGCTTCGGCACGATTGGGTCGGCTCGACCGGAGCGATACCACGGCCTCACAGAAAACCGGCGTGAAATAACCACAGTGTTGTGTTTCGGCGTATGAGTGAGGTTACCGGAGGCCCAATCCTTCCCATCCCCCAATCCCTCCTCAATCCCTAAATCTCCAAATCCCTAATAGGTCGGCAACGCACTCGTAACTCCTCCATTGTAAGTGTCCATTTTCGGCGCTGATTGCTTACCATCAGGTAATCCGTCTGGTCGTTTGACGGTCTATAACATAAAAAAGCCCTAGGAGGCCTCTTCTTCTGTCAAAAAGTAAAGCTGTAAAGCGAGGTTACTCAAGCCCAGTGTATCACTAGCCTTAAGTAGGTATCTATTATATAATATATAATGAGATATATGTCTGTATAGTTGCAGACTTGATGGGACACAATTCTACTAGACTTTGTACGAGCAGCACATCCTCATGATTGAAGTCATTAAAGTTCAATATATCAGTATCACAACTCGTGTTTAAGGGCCAGAATTGCTTGCTTACAAAACGGTGTTTCCTTATTGTTTTATTTGAAAAGTACTCTGAATTTAAATTTCGAAATTGAAGTTTAAGTGATTTTTGGTTTTTCTGCGATTTTCAACCTTTTTAACTGTAAGTAGATTTTCTTTTACTTCTTAATCGATAATGTGTGCCTCCAATACCAGTTTTATAGATTTTTTTATTACGGATGTTCAGCTTTTCAGCTTTTGTATTGATAAAAATACGTAACAAACATCAAGTTCATTCCTATTCATTAAGGGCTGATTTTGCAATAGTCAGATAAATGTTTTCTGATGAATAAAAATGTAGCTGTTACTGTCTTATACAAACAATCTGACGCGACAGCATCATAATTATTCCCCAGGTAACTTTTATCTAAAAGGAGTATTATTTTTCGAAAAGAATCTATAGTTTTTCGGAACAAGTAATTTTAATAAACTAGTTTTTTTTTCTTCATTTTTTGATTAACGTTATGCACACATGTAGCCTTATAGCATTATAATTTGCGATTTCACTGTCATAATCACATCACATCATCACCAGTCTATTAGTGCCCACTACTGAGCAAAGGCCTTTTCACCGGAAAAGGTTTTGAGCATTAATCACCAATGCTTGCTTAAAGCGGATTAGCGATCTCAAACTTATAAGTCCAGGTTTCCTCACGATGTTTTCCTTTTCTGTATGTTTGTCGCGTCTAAATAATCATAGAAAGTACTTACAAATAACTCACATTGGAACTTGCCAGGTTTCGAACTTGTACAATTGTCTTAATGCACTTTTAAATTCATATTTAACCATCATTATACCCTCTATAATTAACTCAACTTATTGACATTAATGAATTTGTAGTTTTATTTACCTAGACAGGTATATAGGTACAAAATGATACCTATCTAGCTATATTAATATTCGTTAGTAAAGATTATGTTGCAAAAATTTTAACTTAGTTAAATGACTCTGAGTAGGTACGGCGGAAAATAAGTATCTTTTAACAGTACCATTATACTTATATGTTTAAAATAATGACAATTATTGATAAGGACTCTTTTATTTTTTAAATATTATTATTTTACTTACGGCCTCCTTGCACCCATATTATACTGGCCTCTTAAAGAAAAATATAAGTAGTTCCTCCTAAAAAACCTCCACAACTGCTGAATTGATATTAATGAAACTTGTTACTCGTTGATAATACACAAAACATCAAGGTCTAAACACTCAATTTAGACCCTCAACAAAAACTGTTGATGGCAAATCCTACGTTAGCGTCGATCTATATTGACCGCGTTGGCAATGAATGGTTTAAAAAAAATTGCAAAAACATATTTGCAACACAAACAAACAACATACGTTCGTATGGAAACATAAAAGTAACTTTTCTTGTCCCTCTAAACTGATTTTAGTAAACGTTCTTAGTCAAGTTTTTAAACAATGATTATAAGGTAGGTGTGGGTACAAAGTTTAATTAATATCGGTACGGTAGTTTCCTCCCCTTGCGTCAATGAGCCAGTAGGCTGCGCGACGTCGCCGCGTCCGCGCACGCTGCTCATGAGGAAGAACCGATCTGTGGTTCGAAACTAGTAGAGCTTTTCTCAATATATACACGTGAGTAACCCGCGATTTTTACTTAATTTAGTATGTCTCACGATAGTTATTATAAAAACAGTAGACCATCACAGACGGGGGGGACAAGGCCGATGTTCGGTCAGGGCTTCGGAGCAAGCGTAATAAGGTACCGCGGTCTCGGTCTTTAGTAGGAGAAGGAACGGGGTGGTTTTTAGTCAGTAAGAGTCTGACACTCCCTCTCGTTTCACCCTGGACGAAAGAATTTTATGACTTTTCCCATCATGCTTAAGAATCCTTCCGTTTCGTTTCTTCTTGACGTGATTTTTATGAAAACTAGAACACATGCATTAACTGTCGCAAATTGGACTCTAGGTCCACTATTTTTAATAAGTAGTTTTAGCAGGTGGTTAAAATCAATATTCAAATGACTTTTTTATAAATCTCGATAAATAAAGTGTGGGAGAGCCAAGCTTCGGTACGAATGGGTCGGCTCGACCGGAGTGATACCACGGCCTTACAGAATTCCGGCGTGAAACAACCACAGCGTTGTGTTTCGCCGTGTGAGTGAGGTTACCCGAGGCCCAATCCCTCTCCCTTCCCAATCCTTACATCTGCAACCCCTATCCCCAAAAGGCCGGCAACGCATTCGTAACTGCTTTGGTATTGCGCGTGTCCATGGGCGGCGCCGATTGCTTACCATCAGGTAATGCGTCTGCTAGTTTGCCGACTTATATACACGACTCATATACAGGATGGTGTCTAGTCGTTTAACTATAAACAAAAGGTTCGTGAGCTCTTACTAAAAGGTATGGCTGAATCGTGACCACAATATAGTATATTATAATAAGCATAAGTACCTATATATTATCTATGTATATGTTATGTATAAATATATTATGTAGTTTGAGTACTTATATTATATATATTATTTTGTATGTAAATGGTTCGCACATATGTATATATGTATCTATCTCGCCTTAACTCATATATAATTAAGTCTTTTTGCTTGCTTCTTGCACCGACCATTGGCTCATCTCTGCATCACCCAAGGCTCGACTGGTAGAAAATGCTTAAGGCATTAAGTCCGCCTATGTACCCATTGTGCATGAAGTTTGAATAAATAAATAAAAATTAAACCAAAAAAAAAGACAGGATTTTCTAAGATAATAATTTCATTCTATATATACCTATGAATTCTATATGTACCTATAGCATAATTAAATCATCCTTATCCTTGAATAGGGAGAACTAGGAAACACTGCCGTATACCTAGAATATTGACACAAGCCAAGCGAAAACAATTCTTATCCTATATACCATTACGTACCAATGTCATCCGATCCTCCACCTCAATATGTCACTATTTATTCAATTCTGATCGACGTGTTGACATGACCATCAATTCCTTGTCACTTCAAGGCGTAACGCGTGAGCAACATAAATATAAAACGTAACATGAGACTGCAATTTTAAAATGCATTTTGAACTTTGGAGCGCTAGAAATAGAACTTAATGTCTGCTGTATTAATAAATGACATGCGATACTTATGATATTGACAATGAATATTAATTAAATGCAATGTTATTGCACATCCGATGACACTGTTATCGCGGATAGTGAACGCGTTATAACATACGATAAAAAGTCTTTGACATAATTATGACTTCTGTTCTGAGAAACTGTGCTGCAAGAGTCGATTATTTATACGCTATAAGCAAGGAACAAAGTGGTAGACACGGACGCCAGGCAAATGGCTGCAACAAATTTCTGTATGATTTAAAAAATGTTGTTCAGGGTCTTGGTGTGATGTGTATTGTGTATGCCAAATCGTGAGTTTGTCAACACAACCATGACATAGGAGAAAATACTAAAGTGGGGCAATGTTTCTTGTTACGCGACGTTAAGTAATACGCAATATGGGACCTATTTTAAGTCAATAAGTTCAGTTTAGATTTTTATAACCACCTCTTTCTATGAATCGTGAAATAGTTAAAAGTTCATCTCATACCCAACATTCGCGCGTTCCTTGAGTAATTAATTATTTTGCTTCAGACCAAAGACCAAAGTCGACTCAAAGGACCAAAAATGAGTATCCCACGGATGAACAATGACTCCGTACATTGGTATGTTGGGGAGATCGCATCTCGCATTATAGCTGAATCTGGTATAGCCACAGACCGCTACCATCTTGGGAAGATTCTTTTGCAATGTTTAAAGGATGATCCAGACTTTGTATTACAGGTAAATAATTTATTTAGAATCATAATGAAAATCATTTTCCTCATTTAGCATAAAAAAATCATTAATTAATCCTTTAAGAATACTTGTTCTGGTTTAATAATCACGCAGCTTAATGAATGTGTGGAAGAGTCATGCTTCAGCGTCAGCGATTGATACCACGGCCTCTCAGAAAACATCTATAAAGCAATTATTGCGTCGTATGAGTTTGTGTTTTTTCGTATGAGTGAGGTTACTGGAGCTACAGACTTCTTCCCTTCTCTTTCCCAAACCTCAAATTTGAACCTCAATGTGAGAGTATATTTAAGAAATCCTATAGTATAAGAAATGCCAAACAACAACCTGTAATTCCTCTAGTATTATGGGTATCCATGGTGGAGTCGCTTCCCTACGATCAAGACAGTACCAAAACAAATCAATATTAAGTTAGTAATTCACCATTTTCTTCTTAACAGATCGAAGGGGCAACAGGAGAATCAGAAACTTTCGGTTCAGTTATAGAAAGGACAGTAAAATGTGCCAACTGCTTCAAGAACATGGGTCTTGGACATGGTGATGTTATGATACTGATGGCTCCCAATCATTTGGACATCACCATACCATTGTACGCAGCTTTGTACCTTGGTATTATAGTTGCTGCAATAGACAGGACTTTGACTGCAAGTAGGTGTTATTTTTACGTTTCTGAAGCCAATACGCCCATAAACCTTCAAAAGATTCCTTTATTTACTCATAGACTTACCCACAGACTAAAAAATGTAGAGTGGCCTGGCCTCATACTAGGTAGATGGACAACATTGTCAAAATCGTGAGGAGCTAATGGATGCAAGTGGCAAGTTATCATTCCACATGCAGGAGTTAGGACTAAGGACAGACCTTTATTCACCATGGGATGTCTTCCAGCTGATGATAATGATGATGATGAACTCCACAGACACAGATCTTGGAGATGCCTAGGTTCAGCTTTAGACATATTGTAACTGATATAATGATGATGATTTAACACTAAAACTGTCGTTCAATTTGCAAATGTCGAAAACTGCTGGAACACGATGGAAAATAAAAATTAACAATTCTAATCTAAAACATAATAGGACCACATTACACATAAATGATCATACGTTCTTACTCTTAAAATTACATACTTGAAACACAATGTTCGCCGTGGGAAAATGGGTGTGGTTCATTTAAATGGTTATATTCATAACTACATACATACATATAGATACACACATTGTGATTAAAAAACAAAACAATGTGGTGTAATGACAGTTCAACAGATATTATAGCAAAAAGCAATGATATTATAAGTAAAAAGGTGTAGATAGGTTACAAGCGCTCAGCAAGTAATACATTAAAACGTGGCTTACTAGCCACGCTTTTGAAATTTGTCTCTTTTTCACTCGTGATTCAGACAAACGAATTGTTCATGTACGTATCAGTGTGTCGTTTTTGAAAATCGAATTTTGTTTAGGTAACCTATCTACACCATTTTACTTATAATATCATTGGCAAAAAGCCATTTTGTTTGTTTTTGAGATCGGATATCTTCTACAGAAACTAAGAAATCTTCTAGATGCATAGCCACGCCGTATTAATGGTCAGTCCCTTCAGGTAGAAGGAATCAAGAGTATTATGTGATTTCTTAAAGGTACTCTGACCATGAACTAAACCTGTGATTTAAACTATGAAAAAGTTAAGTTTGTTGCATTATTAAAGAAGTTTAAGCCAAAATTATACGGCAAAGTCGAAAGAACCTGTAGGCCTAAGTACTATGAATTGTTAAAGCGTGAATCTTCCGGGCGAGAAAGAAGGATGGAGATAAGGTGTATAGCCCGATCCTTCTTTTTCGCTTTAACACGTCATAGTAGACCCTCTAATCTAACCCGGTATGAAAAAGTTATGTATATTCTTCTGTTTCTACTTCTAGACGAACTACAACAGACATTTGCCTTCTCAAAACCAAAGATAATCTTCTGCCAAAGCGACAGAGCTTCAGATGTTCAACTGTCTCTAAATAATCTGACCATGGATGCCCAGATAGTAAGCTTCGATAAGGGAGACTATCTTTGCACTTTCAATGATTTCATGGAGCAATATGGAGATGATTCACCTATTGAAGAGTTTAAGTAAGTCTTTATAGATAAATTGTACGAGCTTCCGCCCGCGGCTTCGCCCGCGTGGTATGTTGATAAAAAACCTATGTCCTATACCAGAGTGTATCCTATGCCTGTGCCAAATTTCATCCAGATCCGTCTAGCCGTTTTGGCGTGATTGCGTAACAAACATGCAAACATCGTAACTTTTGCATTTATAATACTATTAAGATTTTTTGGAATCAGATCAAATCAATCATCGATTAAATCTATAATTGAATAAAATTTCAAATTATGTATTTATTTTTTTACTTAAAGGTGTACAGATTTCGACCCTGAAGACTCAGTAGCTTTCCTCATAGCAACTAGTGGAACAACAGGTCTACCTAAAGCAGCTGCCGTTACTTACAAGAACTTCGCAATCATCACTCCTTACGTGTGGTGAGAAATCACTTCTTTTACAATCTTTGACATTTGATCGAGAATCTGTTGGACTATGAGTCTGCTCTATCATCATCATCGTCAGCCTTCAAAGACAAAAGCAAAGGCTGCTTCTCACACAAAGGAATTTCGAGCACAAATCACTCCGCCTGCTCAGGACGGATTGGAGATTACAAACTTAAGTATATTAACGTCACTGAATGTTAGTGGTGTCAAAATATACATAGTAGTACATATTGATAACTAGGCAGAAGTAAAAAAAAGGTTAAATCATTTATTTCGATTAAACCCTACAGGCACTTTTGAACGCCAAACAAAGCTTAAAACAAAAAATGTCAGTCAATTCATCTTAGTCAAGCTATCTGCTTTGGAACGAGCGTAAACGAGGTATAAAATCCAATGGCCAAGGCGCTGGTAGCTTACCATCAGGTAATCCATCTGCTCCTTTGCCGACCTATCACATAATAAAAGAGTCCTTGGTCCAAACCCATCATGATCATGGCACTATCATGATACGCCACAAAACTTGGTGACCACGTTCGCCAAGCGACTGCTCGCGGTCGGGGGTTAAAACAATATGCATACGCTACGCTTTATAAAAATAAACCTTATTAGAATGCAAAAAAAACCTAATTACCTATTAAGAGAGCGTGTTAAAAATATCAGTCACTAATTACAAGTCAGCCTATATTGTCGATACGAAATAAGCTATAACCTAATATCATGGGAAAATATATGTAGAGATAGTGACCAAAATATGTCATATATGTACATATACAACATGCCATATTTTTACAATCGCTGTTCGATAAACTGTGGGAATTGACATATGTGGAATACGCGTGACCTGATATAAGTAGGTACTTGAAAAAGGCGTGTTTTGTAAATGAATAATGAGTTTCTATAAACTGAAACTTATAAATATGTTAGCTTGTCTTGTTTGAACGACGAGACACGTCGTTAATGAAGTGGGTGTTAACGAGGCTTTGGTAATTATCAACCCTCAAAATGTCCAGTACGAGGTAACTTTATGTCAGCACGGTCGACATGTTTATGACGTTTGATACGCTGATTGGCTTGTCACAATTTAATCAACCAATCACAGGGCTAAGCGCGGTAAAGATTTGAACTTGTTAAATTCGAAATAACTTGCACTAGATGCTGAGTGTGATTACAAAGAGGAGAAAAGTGTTGTAAGATGAACTAAAATTTGTTGTAAAATTTGAAAATAACAAATTACTCACGTGAATGATACGCGCGGCTGACCGTCGGCTGCGTGACGTCATCGCAACATGTTGTTTATGATGAAGAGTCCATTCGTGCCTTGAAACTAGTTGAGCTTTTATACGTGGTACTTATAAAAATAAAGGGTAAGTCGTTCTTTAAAAAAATAAGTGCAGGAGTTAAAGCATAGACAAATTACCAATGTAAATTTTTAACCACGTGATTGAAGGGATTTGAAGTTAAACTTAACCGTAACCAGTTTACACAGAGTACTGAAAAACATCGAGTTTTGTTTTTTGATGATCTACAAATTGTACTTTCGTGGTCTGGTTCATAAAAATGACAAATACGTGGAAAATACCCTAATTTCAGAAAATCTTAGTTCTCATTTTTCATGTTCGGAACAGGTCCAGATATACCAAATTTCCAACACCAACTAGACTATCGTTGGTGGGATCTCCTCTGCAATGGTTGTCAGCCATTTTGAATTTTATCTTATCGCCCTTACTGAGGTTCACGAGGCTTCAAACGACACTACCACTGACGCAAGAGCATGCTTACGATCTGATCAATACTTATAAGGTAAGCTATTTTTTTGCCTTTTGTTAGGCCTTCGCAAGCTTTGGCACACGCTCCAGCAGTCCGCGCTTGTGGACCGAGGTAATAGAAATATATGTTTCATATTCATAGATTCAGTTTCATTTTTATTCTCTTTTGCGATTCTCATTTGAAATATAGGTAATGCTTTATTGTACACTATTTCTACGAAAAATACCAAAGTAGAGAAGCGTAATATGCACAATAGGCGACCATGTCGCTTAGAGCAATCTCTTTCTGACAAACCTACGATGGATATTAACTAGAAGAAGAATATAAAAAGGGCAAGTACTATTAATGGTCAAAATAAATGCCAGTTAGTGGCATTTTGTGAATAGCACGGGTAGCCATCAAAAGCGGTAACTCTGTAAGCAGCCGCACATTATCATTACACATCATATCAGCGATGGATGATGATGGAATAATGACGGGTGATCTTTGCAGCCAACCTACACAGTTCTAAGCCCCACTCTGATGACAACGCTGATTAAACCTGACGACCGGGATCGCTGTGACTTCTCAAGTTTTGAACTGATCTTGCTGGGTGGAAGCGCTGTGCCACAGACTTTAATTGAAGAATTAAAGGTGCGTTTTCAAAATATTCATCTAAAAAAAAGATGTCCATAGTACATATTACTAGCTGACCTGCCAAACTTTGATTTGCCATATAAATTATTATTTTTTTGTCACTTAGGAGTATGAAAAGTACATACATAAAATTTTGTAAAAACCAGTAAAGCCGTTTTGGACGATTAAGGTTGTGACACGAGAATTTTATACATATATAAGATTATTATTTGAATTATTAAATGTCTTTCTTTGTAAGACTTGAGAAATTACTCTATTGAAATACAAATCCTATGGTATAGTTTCCTCTCCTCCTACCTACCTCCTATCCTACACAATTAAAAGAAACACTTTGGGAAATGATTATAATACTTGAATCATTCACTCACAAAAATTTTGATAAGACAGAGATTTTCGGAACTACATTATCCTATTTTTTCGGTGTAAATGAAAATAAGTTTAAATCTTGATAACCTGAAGAAACATTTTTCAATAGAATTTTAAAAGTGTGTTTATTTTAGACCGTAGCGCCTGACGCAGAAATCATGAATTGCTTTGGCATGAGTGAACTTGGCGGTATCGCCTTCCATGGAGATAATATCGCGCCAGGATCCTGCGGAAAACCGTTGGGATGTTTCCAGTACAGGGTAAGAACTTAAAAAGTACTTCAATTTAAACAAATTTCTGTGTATGAAGTGTTTAAGAAAAAGAGAGTAAGTTCTCTTAGATCTTAAAAGGAACTTAAAAGTCTGGCGGGCTACTGACCGGCAATTATTGTACGTTGGGATTTTCTAACCGTATTTACATTTAAACTTCACTTCTTTATGTAATAGGTCGGCAAACGAGGAGGCGGATTACCTGATGGTAAGCAATCAGCGCCGCCCATGGACACCCGCAATAGAGGAGTTACGAGTGCGTTGTTGACCTTTTGGGGATCAGGGATTTATAGGGCTTGGGGGAGGGGAAGGATTTGGCCTCCGGTAACCTCACTCACTCAGCGACGATCGAGCCGATACATTCATACCAAAATGGCTCTTCCACACTAACACTCTCTTGCATGATGTAAGACTTGTGACGCCATCTGTTGAACAATAAAAGAAAGAGAAAGAGTTTACTATAGGCGTCGCTACGACGAGTACTCTTTTAAAGTTTTACAGACAAGACCTTAAATAATATTTTAAGCGATATTACTGTATGGTGTTTGATTGCTATTATTATTTTTTTCTTCTAGATTATAAACGTTGACACTCAAGAAGATATTTATGAACCCAATGTCCCTGGAGAGCTGTGGCTCAAAGGACCAAGTATTTTTAAGGTAAGAATAATTATTATTAATAATAAGTTTTTTATCATTTAATTACTAACGGGTAGCGCAGAATTAAAATATTGCCCCTTACCGCTGTACTCAAAGTCATGTACTTAATGGTTACTTAATGAATGAAGACCTTTTTTTGGAACAACATTTTTATAAAGGAATAGTGTTAATAAGTAGGCATAAATCCTCTCCTAATACGGAAGTTCTGCTCTGATCAGCAAGTTCAATTTACGTAAGTTTCTAGTAGGGACTTAAGCGGCAAAACACGATTTTTTGAGACTGAAACACCTTATTAATAGCTTGCGTATCTATCATGAGTGCTTACAATATATTTAAAACATTTTAAAGTAAAGTTAAAATCACAGGAATACTACAATAACGCAGAGGCTACAGAAGAGACCTTCGCAGAAGACCGTTGGTTCAAAACCGGAGACACATTCTACAGAGATGAAAACTGGAACTTCTTCTTTGTTGAGAGGATAAAATTACTTCTGAAGTATAAAAGTTATCAGGTTTGTAGACACATATGTACATCGTAGAAAAAAACTCGAATAACGCTTAAATGAAATGATTTGAAAGTCTTCATTCGCTAAAACCATGGTAAATACAAAAGGTGATAAAACAAAAAAAAGGCGCTTACCTTACCACAAATTCAGTAGGCATGCGAAAATTAATACCATAAATAGATGTTTAAACTTACAGCTGGTACAATCATTATTGAAAACCGGCGTGAAACAACCACAGTTACCAGAGGCTCAATCTTTGCCCTCCCCCAATCCATCCTCAATCCCTAAATCTCGGTCTAACGGTCGGCAACGCACTCGTAACTCCTCAGTTGCGGGTGTCCATGGGCGGCCCTGGTTGCTTACCATCAGGTGATCCGTCTGCTCGTTGGCCGACCTATTATATAAGAAAAAACTATTTTTTATATAATTAATATACTCTTTGATTTTTGATATACTACTGTACGTACTGACCCATAAAGCCGTTCTCTTTTTGCACATATTTCATCCTGAATATTGTACCCATGAGTTGTAGACTAGCTTTTCATTTTCCCTGTTTAATTGAGACAGGCATATAACATGTCCCCTTCATCTATATTCGTTGATGTGGCTTTCTGTCAAAAACCGCAGTTATCAAAACACTACCAAAATTTAAGACACCGACTACATTGCCTTCTTTTATCACCATTTAGATATCACCAGTGGAAATTGAAGAAGTCATACGTCAGCACCCTGGAGTCTTAGATGTTGCTGTGACTGGTATACCGGATGAGGAGTGTGGTGATCTGCCGGTCGCAGTTGTGGTGCCAAGACCTGGAGATGAACCGACAGCTGATGATATCAAGAACTGTGTTAAAGGTACTTATAGAATTCTGGTGTCGTTTGTGATCGTTAATGGTCTTCGGGCTCGTCTTTTAGGTCTTTTAATTCTGCAAAGGTTTAAAAAAATTAAGTTACTTATATTGAATTAAAGAGTGCTTACCTTAAAATTTGGAATGATGAGGACACAAACCTTTAAAAGTTGTCTAGGTTTTTGGAAGAAAGATGACCAATGACCCATCATTACATTTATTCGTATGGACTAGATCCTTTTTATTGCATAATGAAAAAAAAACATGGAATATTTTTCATTATTCTACACTTGAATTTGTACTTTGGAACAAGCAAATATCTGAGAGACTGACCAATAGATGATCCAAAAATCTTTCACTGATAGATAGCTACAATGTTCCTGAGTGCTATAGACTATAAAAAATCACGCTACAATTAAATTGAGCCGAACAGCGGGTGAAACCGCGCGAGAGTAGCTATTGTTTTATATTATCAGACTAATCGAAATAAACGACTTTGACTTTGAAAATACCAAGTCCTTATAAATAACTCTAAAAAGACAACAAAAACGTATTTCTACGTATTCTTTCAGACACGCTCTCAGACTCGAAGCAACTTAGAGGAGGTGTAATATTCGTGGAAGCTATACCGATGACAGCCTCAACCAAAGTCCACAGGAGGAAACTCAAGCAAATGGCCCTAGAGTTGCCCAGAGAATAAAATTAATAACAGCCTGCAACTGTCTCACTGCTAGATGAAGGGACCTTCAAACAAAGAAGGAATAAGCATTGATCACTTGCTCAATGTGGATTGGCGAATTTGATTGACTGATTAATTGGTATTTTATGGCAAAGAAGGTGTTCCCTGAAGATAGTATGTCATCAGTCTTGGCTATAAATACCTGCAATAGAGGAGTTTCAAATGTTTAGTGTATACTGCAGTGGTACTCCATTCATGTCATTCATTCTTCACATAGATGTATAGGAAGAATCTTTGGGAGTTCAGTTAATATTATATTTGTAACAATATGCAGCTAATTTTCTTTTCATGGCTTTAGCTTTTTGTCTGTGAATTTTCCCATTGTCTTTACGCCTTAATAGAAGTATATCAATCTGTAAGTAGCCGTTCAGCACGACTGCAGAGTAGACGCGGTGGCTGAGCAACCAACCGGCTGCCTAGCAACAAAAATTTTGGTACACACAAAAAAATTACGTTGCTAATTTTTTTGTGTGTTCCAAAATTTCTGGGTGTGATGTATATGTGATATTAATTGTATTCTTGTAAACACACCCACGACATAGACCAAAATCCTAGTTATTGCAACATCTGATTTAAAAGAAGAAAAAAAAAGAAAAAGAAGGCATTTCATGGCCAGAAACGGGTTGTATACTCAGCTGGAGTTGCGGGGCAAACGCAATGAGGCACCGCGGACTCAGCCTAGAGCAATAGAAGAAACGAGGGGGTTTTTAGTTAGTAACAGTCTGACACTCTCTCCCGCCCTGGGTTCTGGGTGGAAGAAGTCATTCGATGATTTTGCCCTCACCAAAAAAATGTCGGGATTATACTATAGCAAATATAATTATATTATTGTAAATAGTTTGTATATTAGTAATAAATTGGCTTGCCAATAGAATAATTTGTATGCTTAATAGAAAAGACGACGAACACAAAACAGAAGGTATTTTAATTTTAAAAATTGTTGCGATAATAAGGTCGAAAAATTCGCGGACGAAGCCCCTGGTAGAAATTGGTTAGCATTAATTTCGCTTATAGTAAAAATCTTGATATTATTCTTTCATTTTGTGTGTGCTATCTTTAATTCAGTATTAAATATTTCGCAACTAATTAATAACAGCTTAGAACAAAAGGATTTGTATAATGTAAATTGCACTAAGAAATTAATAAATGTACTTTCTATTCTATTCTTTACTACATTACAATAAGGACCAATAAATATGAAAGACTTTATTTTACTTTAGAAACAATTCTTGTTTTGTTAAGTGTTATTTTAGTAGGTAAAGCTATTAACTGCATCCTTGCTTTTGTAAATCAGTTATTGAATACAAGGTCAAATACATAGACACGCATTTGCATAGTAATATTGTAATATCAGTACCTAAGACCTTTGTGAGTTATAGATCTAGTGAAACTAACAAAATTATTTATTATATTCAACAGCTTATCCACCTTATGTATACTGTATGACGGAGAACTCGACTAGTTTCAAGCCATGCTAGGGCTCATATTCACGAGTAACACAGCCAGATACGCGATGCGGTAAATGTAGAGCAGCTAACTGACTCTTCGATATTAATAATTTATAAGTAGTTATATTTATAGAATAGTTCAAAAATAAAATTGTAAAATAGAAATTATCGTAATAAACGAAACTGCTAACAACCTAGAAAACTGTTTTTATTTACATCCAATCAAGTTAATTCAAGTATGTAAGAGCCATACTTCACGAATGGCCCGGCTCGACCCGGGTAAGACTACGGCTTCATAGAAAACTGGCGTGAATACCCAGTGCTTTCCTTCCCTTAATACCCAGTACCGAATTTCCCCAATCTCAAGACTTTTTTGTTGAGATACCCTCATTGACTTAACTCACACGTACCTTCTACTGATCCCGTCTGGGGCTGCGGTACCTTATTCAGCTAGACCCGCAATCCCAGATCCTCAAATCTGGCATCCAAAAAGATCAGGTAATCACAGCCATAAGCAACGGTGTTTGCTTAATCGTGTGATGTTCGTTTCCCTCCTATACCTATTGTACCTAAGAAACAGCAATGCATCTGTCCAGAGTTGGAATATTTATCTTTCGTATGTACAGAGATGGCAGGATGTATGGATCCAGTTTGGAAAATATAGCTGTCCTATCAAAGTCAAATTCAAATCATTTCAAATAGACCGAAACAGACACTTTTGAACGTCAAACAAAAAAGTAACATCAAAAAGTTCAACTTTATGTGTGTTGGTTTGTCGGTCTGTCCTCTAGTGAAGTTATTTGCTCGTTCCAAAGTGCAGTTTCCTATTGACAAGAACGAGCAAGAATCTCCATAGTTACTCTTATTTAATCAGATTCTTAACATTGTCTCTATCATGTACGTAACCTACAAGTTAGGTCTTTTTTTGTGAGGGGAAAATCATCAAATGCCTTCTCCCGCCCAGGGCCGGGCGGGAGGGAGTGTCAGACTCTTACTGACTAAAAACACCCCCGTTCCTTCTCCTGCTCTGGGTCGAGGTCGCGGTGCCTCAATGCGCTTACCCCGCAACCTCAGCTGAACATTAACCCTATAGGGCCCGTTTGTGGTGGTCTATTGGCTCTTTGAGGCGCGCGCGGAACGCTACGCACCGTACGCTCGGGCCTGGTTCTGGTCGGGCAGCGAGCTGCCCTTACTCGCCGACCGCAGACCCGCGCTTACAGTGGCCGGAGAAGCTAGGTCTTATCACGTAATTTTAAACCTTATAGCACTCAGTTTTAAGTGTGGGACTTATCAGAGTATTATTTTAGTTTTTATACCGTACCCAAACATATGCTTTGAACTTTGCTTTAGATAAACAAAAACTGTATAGTCATTATGACTAATCATCATAGTTATCTTGACGGTAATCAAGTGTGTATAAAACGGTCGTCTTAAAAAGATAAATAATATTATGTAAGTAATACATAATTGGTTCTTGACAACAAAGTCCAACTATTTTATTTACTTTTTTTGAAGTGATGTGTCCGCTCGTCTTTTTACGCTTATTTCTTTCTTGTCGTCTAGCAGTAAGCAATTGGTACTGCTCATGGACACACCGTCAGATTTGCAAGTGCGTTGCTGGCCTTTTGCGAGTAGGGGCTCTGGGGACTCATGGATTTGGAAAATAGGGATGGAGGGAATTGGCCTCCAGTAACGTCACTCACACCGCAAAACACAACGCAAGCGCTGTTTTAAGACGGTTTCGAGCAACTCTACACTAACCAGAAATCCGTTTTAATTTAATTGGAACGTGTGATGTATTCAAAATATCCATACGAAAGCAAATAAAGTCGCTACTTTTTCTAAACAAATAAATTGTCATTCTGTCTGTCCAGGCATGGTTTTTTGACGGGGCAAAATCACCATAATACACCATAATTTTGGGACCGACACTGTTCATATTGTACTGTGCGGATATTAGTAATGTAATTAATAATTGCAAATTTCACATCTACGCCGACGATCTCCAAATTTATTTCTCTTTCAGACCGGAAGAGTACGATAATGCGGTTAAGCTCATTACTGAGGATCTTGACAGAATTTTTGATTGGTCGAGTGGTAATTGTCTCATTCTCAACCCATCCAAGTCCAAATATATGCTGTTTGGAACAAATGCTCAATTGCACAGGATTCCTGCGAGCAACGCTAACTTGTTGCTCAAGGGCCAAATCGTCGAACGTGTTTTTGAGGCAAAAAATTTGGGTTTGGTTATGGATCAGGGCCTTAGGTTCGAATCATATGTCTCAAATTGCGTCAGAAGTTGCTTTTACCGTCTAAAAGTACTGTATAAGATGCGAGCATACTTATGTGAGGAGTTGCGTGTGCAGTTGGCTGAGTCTCTGGTGCTATCGAAATTAAATTACGCGGACACGGTTATTGGCCCTAGACTCCTATCGCGAACCAAACGAGTGATACAGAGAGTTCAAAATGCTTGTGCGCGTTTTTGCTTCAAAATACCACCAAGAGGTCACATTACCCCTTATTTAAATAAACACAATCTGTTAAAAATGAAGTCACGTCGTAAGCTTCATCTAGCCTGTCTCCTCTTTGGTGTCATAAGAAGTAAATGCCCGTCATACCTCTACTCGAAGCTCTCGTGGGTGAATGCACATCGCCAGCGAGAGGGTAGGCGTTGTGCGCAGCAGCTGGCTATACCGCAGCATAAAACCGCTGCGTTTAGAGGTAGTTTCAGGTATGCGGCGTCAAAGTGCTGGAACAATATCCCCCCGCCTATTAGGAATTTGCAAAGTATAGGTACTTTCAGAAGAAAGCTCAAAGAGTTTGTGCTAACTTCTCAAATCAATAGCGCCGAAATAAATATTGACCTGTCTTTTATTTAATGTTTACTTTTGTATTATTTATTAACACTATCATTAATTTACAATTAAATATCTGCAATCACATATTACTAAAAAATATTTTTTCTATACCTACTCCTCACTATTATATTCACATAATTATATTTATTTAATAAATAAAGGACTCACCGTCACCGCTCGAGTTTTGTTGCGAGAGTTGATCGCCGATTATCATAGCATTTGTTCAGTTTCACGTCACGCAAAATTCTGGTTTTTCCCTCAATAGTAACTCAATACCATCGTAGTGATGGTGCGCGTAGTTATGGTGCAAATGAGCGTTAAACTGTGCAGCAGTATTTAAGTAACAATGCGACACCCTGCTCACCCGCAACTTCCAAGATTATTGTTGCGATTTTATGGTGTATTATTTTTCAAGTACCAACATTAAATTATGACATATATTTACCTATATTAAAAAAATATATATACTATTGAACATGTAAAAAGTAATCTTAAAAAATAATTTATATTTAACATATCACTATTTAATTATATTTTAGTATTATAATATTCTTATCTATCTCGTTTCTTTTATTTTCCCCTGGACTGATCACTAGAGCCCGCAAGTCTTAAAACTAAGATATTTTGTCATAATGCAGATTAAGATGCTCTAATTACTAGTAACTAGTAGATAGTATGTGTTGCATTCGTCCGTGCGTCACTGCAGGGGTGCCAACTGAAAATCAGTGTTGGGTGCTCCGTGCCCAGCTTTTGCTGAGTTGGCGACCCATTCGGATTGGGCATGTCCGCCAACCCAGGGTTGTATTAATGTATTTTTTAGGCTGTTTTCACGTTATTGTTTTGATTAATTTTATTTTTATTTTATTTTGTTGTCCTGTTACTTTAAACTTTTATTGTTTTGTTTTTTTTTATTGTTGTATTTTTTTGTTTGTTCTTGGCCTTCATGTCTCGGTCCGAATAAAAACAGTTTTCTTTCTTTCTTTCTTTAATAATATGGCCGCTCCCGTCCACTGACTAGAAACCAAACTTTTGTTTCTCCTGCTCCAAGTCAGGCAGCGGTGTATTACATACCCGCAACTTCGGCTGCACCGGACTGATACCACGGCTTCACAGAAATCCGGCATGAAACAACCACAGCATTGTGTTTCGCCGTGTGAGTGAGGTCGGAGGCGCTATCATCATCATCAGCCCATAAGTGCCCACTGCTGAGCAAAGGCCTCTTCTCGCACGAAAAAGGGTTTGAGCATTGATCACCACGCTTGCTCAATGCGGTTTGGCAATTTGAAACTTAGAATTAGAAATTATAAGTCCAGGTTTCCTCACGATGTTTACCTTCACCATATGTCAATGGTGTCTAAATAATCACATGTTACTCGGAAAAAGTCACATTGGTACTTGCCAGATTTCGAACCTACACCCTCATGCATGAGAAGCGGGTTCCATAACCTCCGGGCCACTACGACGACGGAGGCGCTGTCCTTAATGCTCAGATTGAGATGGTGAGGGGCACCGTCAATCCCTTATAACCCACAAAAGTTCAACAACGCACTTGTAGTAACGACTTTAGAATTTCGAGTGTCCATTAACAGCGGATTGCTTACCGTCAGGTAATCCATTTGCTCCGTTGCCGACCTTTCCTATAAAAAGGGCAGCAGCGGAAAATTTGTAAATATAAATCTGTCAAAATCCTTATCGCTCAAGCCATATAGTTCAAGATATTGTGTATTGATCTAAGCGGTCTAATCTGATAGTATAAAGATATATTTCGACAATATAATGCAGTTTCCTGTAAACTGTTTTTACATACAAGTGCTTAGGTTTGTCGAAATAGCTTCAGCTTCGGTATTTTTTAAATCGTTAAGAAGAAAATCCTATTGTCCCTACTAGGATTTCTTTTGTGTCATAGGTGCGTTTACAAACATACAATTTCACATACACATAACATCCAAAACCGAAACAACAAATTTGTGGAGCACAAAAGGAGTTGTTCCGTGCGGGAATCGAAACGGCGACACGTTGTGTGGCAGCAGTTGCCCAGCCACCGTGCCTACCGTGCAGTCAATTGTTTTTGGAGCCGATCCAAATTGCAGGTTAGTTCTTGATATGACGTATTCTCTTGTAATTTTGTTTAATCGACTCGAGAGCCATAATAATCCAGACTATAATATTATAAATGCGAAAGTAACTCTGTCTGTCTGTCTTTTCTTTACGCCTAAACTACTGAACCTATTTGTATGAAATTTGGTACAGACAGTTTGGAACTGGAGAAAGGACATAGGATAGTTTTTTAACTAAAAATCAGCCGGAAGTCACTATTCCACGCGAAAAAAGTCGTGGTCAAAAACTAGTTAACCTAATAAATATGATCTAACAATTATTTAACACTTTAATACACGTTGATGCATCTAGTTCATCGATTCTATATATCGATAGTCCACATATTGTTCGACATAAGAATATTTATGTGTTAAATTGTTAAATAAGTTTTTTTTTTCAGTAACAGAAAATAATGGCTTCCCGAGCGTACGATGCAGTACATTGGTACATGGAGGAGGTTGGAGCTCGTGTGGTAGCGAAGACCGGGATCCCTTCAGACAGACATCACCTCGGAAAACTGATTCTGCATAGCCTACAAGATGATCCCGACTTTATCTTTCAGGTACTTATGTGGGTAGTTAGAAAGAAAGAAACAATATTTTGATTCTACACATTTTTTGAGGCACAAACCCGACCCATCAAAGCCGATGTTCAGCTGGGGTTACGGGGCAAGACAATTATATTATAAGTAAAATGGTGTAGAAAGGTTACCTAAACAAAATTCGATTTTCAAAAACGACACATTGATACGCACATGAACAATTCGTATGTTTAGACGTCAAAGTGAGATGGCATGATTCAATAATAGTGAGTAAAAAAGAGACAAATATGAAAATAGTGTGGCTAGTTAGACGCCACGGCGTCCTCACCTTCCGCCTGACGCAGGTGCTTACCGGGCACGGCAGCTTCGGTAGGTTCCTGTTTCGGATCCAGCGGGAGGAAACGCCCGATTGTCGTCATTGTGAGGACCACCTAGAGGATACGTTGGAGCATACGGTAGCGGTTTGCCCTGCCTGGGCTGAGCACCACCGTGTCCTCAGGGAAGTGATCGGTGGCGGCGACCTCTCGCGCCCGGCCTTAGCCGAGGCCATGGTGCGAAGTGAGAGGAACTGGGACGCCGTCTCCTCCTTTTGTGAAGCAGTCATGCTCGCAAAGAGAGAGGCGGCCCGCGTGAGAGAGCAATCCTCCTCTGCGCGCGCCTCAAAGAGCCAATAGACCACCACAGACGGGGCCCTAAAGGGCTGATGTTCAGCCGGGGTTGCGGGGTAAGCCCAATGAGGCATCGCGACCTCGGCCCAGAGCAGGAGAAGGAACAGGGGGGGTTTTAGTCAGTAAGAGTCTGACACTCCCTCCCGCCCGGAGAAGTCATTTGATGATTTTCCCCTCACAAAAAAGAAAAGCGTACTACTACTCACAGCGGATTCAGATTCGAAGTTTAGAATAAAGTCTTACAGAATCACGCTGCTGGAATAAAATAATTAATCTCTCCAGATCGATGGAGCGACAGGTGAATCAGAAACCTTCGGCTCAGCTTTAGACAGGAGCATCCGATGTGCTGTCTCCCTCACCAACATGGGGCTGAAGAAGGGCGACGTCATGGTCCTGATGGGACCAAACCACATAGACTTCTGTGTACCACACAACGCTGCATTATATCTTGGAATCATGGTGGCTTGCGTTGATGCAACTTTGGGAGTTAGTGAGTCAAATTTAAATTGTTTTTTCTCAATCATATATCATTTGTTCCTTGAACGAGAGCGTAGTAATAAATGCACAAACCTTCTTCGACCCAAAGAGGTCTTTGTTCAGCTCATAATAATTAAACTCATTTCACGGGTCTTGGGGACAGTATTCTAAAAATCAAAATACTCGCTCATTTATTTAATAAAATATCTAAATACTATAAGTACAAGATTTATTATGGAGTGAAGTTTTTTTTGAATGATAGGCATTCAATTAGAAACATCATTTCAGATGAATTAACACAAATATTCAAGACTAATCAACCGACGATAATAATCTGCCAAAGTGAGAAGACAGGAGATGTTGATGCAGCACTGCAAATGCTAAAGATGGATACTAAAGTTGTGACCTTTAATGAAGATAATCACTATACAACACTGTCACAGCTCTTGAAGGTAGATGACGCAGCAATCACGAATTTTAAGTAAGTTGTATTTGTTAAAGATACGAAACCTTTTATACTGTATTCAGAAATAAAAATTTCTAAACCTTCGACCAAAATTATAAAAAATGTTTTTGTTATTTCAAGCATTTGGTTCAAAACATCTCATATTTTATATCATCGTTACTGAAGCTTAGTTTAGTATTGAGAAGGTTTATTTAAAGTTTTCTTAAGGACTTATTAATATCAAAGAAATGTGGATGTGTGTGTTTTAATCTCATATTCAACAGTCTTCAAGATGAGAGAAGGAAACTAAAAAGCGGTACATTTTAGATTGACTTTTCATTTTATTTTTTATCCTCCCCCAGCCCCTAGATTGTCCAAAGTCTCTTCTACATTCTATCCCCAAATAGAAACACTATTACCTTCAGGAATAACATGTTAAGATATGTTTCTGTCCCTAGTTCTCTTCTGTTCTATTATATCAGGAACGGGAAAACGTGTTACCTCAAATGTAGAAAGAGCGCACCGCAGGGATAGCTAGTCTTATTATAATCTTTTTTCATTTTTACTCAGACCAACCGACTTTGATCCAGCAGAAACAGTAGCCTATTTGACCTCAACTAGCGGTACCACGGGAGTTCCAAAAACTGCTATGCTCACACATAAAAACCTGAGTATAGGAATTCGTTATATCTGGTAAGTGACCTTTTTATTTAGCGTTAGATTAGTATCTATAACTTTGGTCAAGTACGTTCATTCTTACAACTCTAGCCAAATGAAGACAAATGAAGAATGAAAGAAAATTACTAAAAATTTATTGACAACTTTCTTTTGAAGAAAAAAATTATTTTATTTTATTTTCCTCTTCACTTTTCTCTATCTGCTTCTACATTTAGAGGAATTTTCAGCTTTTCTTTGATCAGATTAAAATGCTTGCCTCTTTCCATCACAACTCGTATTTCATCATCATCATCATCATCATCATTAGCCTATTAGTTCCCACTGCTGAGCAAAGGCCGCTTCTCACATGGAGAAGGTTCGACCATGAATCACCACGCTTGCTCAAGGCGGATTGGCGATTTCAAACTTATAATTTATTAGTAATTATATGTCCAGGTTTCCTCACGATGTTTTCCTTCACCGTATGTCAGTAGTGTCTAGATAGTCATAGAAAGTACATATTACTCGGAAAAAGTTACATTGATACTTGCCAGGTTTTGCCAGCGGGCGACTAAACCTCCAGGCCACCACGACTATAACTCATATTTAATTTGAGGCAAAAACTGGTTTTAAAAAGTCTATTTCTTATAAATATTTTTTCTGTTCTTCTAGGATAGAGTTCTCTAAGTTTCCAACACCAACCAGAATGGTTATAGTGACATCACCAGCTCAGTGGCTATCAGCTGGGTTCCACTACCTCTTCTCCCCAATCATGAAGTATACTCGATTGCAGACGTCAGCAACAGTCACGCCGGAACATTTTGGTGAACTTGTCAACAAATATAAGGTAGTAAAAGACCATATTTTAACTTAATATCAGGGTCTCTTACAGAGTATTTGAATACACTAGAATAACTGACAAATTGTATTTAAGACGAATTCCTTTGTTTAACAATGAGCTCCTGATGATGATAAAATAGGACAAAACGAAGACAATCATGCAATAGAGGAACTTAGTAATGAGACCAGTGAATTTCTTACAGCCCACTTACATTCTCATCAGCCCAACACTGATGACAACAATGATGTCGAAAGCGAAATGTGACTTCAACTGCTTTGAAAACATACAAGTTGGAGGTAGCGCTGTCACTCAAGAATTTTTAGCTGATTTAAAAGTAAGTGCTACCAATCAATGTCTTTTCAATGAAATGTGTTTCCATCAAATTTCAATTATAGCAGCTGTCTTTTCAGAAAGTTCTATCCCTTTTACCATTTTGTTGGTTCAGAGTTTTCTCGCAACTACGAATCTTAAGTATACTTGGAAATTAAGGTCACTTCACCAACGTTCTTTTCATGGCCTTTTTTTCCAAATTGTTCAATCTTCATTAACTCATTCAATAATTTTTTCACCTTAACAATACTTATTATCATTGCAGAAAATAACTAACGCAAAGATATACATTCTGTATGGCATGAGTGAAGTCAGTGGTCCTACTTTGCAGCAAGATGATTCAACACCACCAGGGTCTTATGGGAGACCAATTGGAGGCTTAGAACTAAAAGTAAGTTCTTTTTTTAAGAATTCCATTGAGTTTACGGCCTTATTGCAATGTCCAGCTCGAGCCGTAGATGTAGATCCGTGATCATATTATTATGGAAGTGACACATAGAAGTTCGCTTCAACCGGGGGGTCATCTTAGGTTGGATTTATTTTTGTCAGTGTAATTTTTTATTCAATTTATTTCTGTTGATTCTAATCTGAGTTTTTAATGGTATTAAAATTTGAAAGATGGTCGGATATAAATTAAATTGTATATTTTTCTATTTCAGTTAGTGGATCCGAAAACAAATAGAGTCATCACTGAACCTCATGTTCCCGGCGAATTATGGTATAGAGGTCAAAGTGTTTTCAAGGTAAGTCCAAAAAAGTTTTTTTTATGGGACAAGCCCGCTTCTAAATCCCTAAACCGCCGCAACTCCTGTAAGCTAGGATTTACAGTAGATACATCTATGAAAACATCGAAACACCAGACCATAAATCCATTCCGCCACCTTAGTGGGGCAAAAGTAAGTGACAGATTTTTAGTGACGGAAAGCCACCTTGTGCTTTCTCCTGTTTCGGGGCGGTACCGCGGTGCATAAATGCGCTTGCACCCTCAACCAGGGCTGGTAGCTAAAAGCGTGTTAAGATTAATAAAAGTACAAGATTAACGTGTAAACTAACTGGCTTTAGTATAGGATTTACTTTCAGTCTACAGTCTTATGTCAACTTTCAGAGACAAACAATAATCGATGTGAAAATGATGTAATAATTAATGATCCAATTCATTGACATTTCAGGGTTATTACAACAATGAGGAGATGACTAAGGAGACTTTAACAGAAGATGGCTGGCTTAAATCTGGTGACATTTTGTATAGAGATGAAGCGTGGAACTTATTCTTTGTGGAACGATACAAGCTGCTGTTGAAGTATAGAAATCATCAGGTACGCAATAATGATAACTAGTCAAAAATCAAATATATTATACCTATATTTCTATAAGTTAAAAACAATAAACTTGGACTGACTTGTAATCTAAATACAAGAGAAGAATAACTACAAGAGACTGTACATTCTATATTGTCTAAGTACCAAAAAGGGCTTGTATAAAAATATTTATTATATCTTGTATTATAATAAGTCTGACAGCAGCATTTATTCAGCATCTACCATACAAAAAATAGTTATCATGCTAATAGCAAGCACCCCTAGATAGCGCGCTATTAGCGTTACAGGTCGCCATAAAAAAATAGCAGACATAGCAGAGTGGATACAGAATGAAACTCATGTTATATCAGATGAAAAGAAGGTGTATTCTTAAAATTATTTAGTTCTTTATCATGCATCGTTAGAAAATGGACTGATAATTTAATTAAGTAATCGTTTTATTATTGCTAAGGTATCTCCATCAGAAGTAGAATCAGTGATCATGAAGCATCCTGGAGTATTCCAAGCCGCAGTGACAGGTATACCAGACAGGGAGTGCGGGGACCTGGTGGTGGCGTGCGTTGTGCCAAAGCCTGGCTGCAGCCCCGCAGCGCAGGAGATCAAGGACTTGGTCAAAGGTGGAGTAGTTTTCTAATACCATTTTAAGCTTTTACTGAGAGTCAAGTTGGTACAACATTAAAGGTTTACTTAGATCGTTAAAGGAATTATCCTTAAACCTGCCGATGTGGCCTTGCCTGATGAGCTGGTTGGGATTGTCTTTCCATCTTGAATTGTGTATTTTTTTTTTATTAAATCGACTATTTTGCTAATATGTACGCAGTCAAATGTTTTCTACAGTGCCATCTACAAGCAAATCTTTGTACCACGTAGTCGTGGCATGCATTATTAAGCAATTAACTGTTTCCTGTCCCAAAATATTAACATACCTCGCTACTTCCATTTGAAGACTTAAAACCAAAAAATAAATAAAAGAAATCAGGATTAAAATTAATAAAAAATATTAATACTCTTCGATCAAATATATGATCGAAGTTTTAACTGGACTTTTAAGAAAAACTCGGTTGTGTGTGTATGCGTATTGCGTATATTATGTATTCCATTTCAGCAAGGTCTTTTTAACCAATCTTTGATAATCTTCTTATCTTTTTATTTTCGGCCTCTGGATTTATTATAGACATTAGCAGATTTGAATATCTTACGTGTAAAAATGTTGCTTAAGTTGTAATAGCAAATGATTTCTCAAACAACGGAATATTTTTTGGCCAATCAAATGAGGCAGAGGCCTGCCATGTAACGTGTTGCGGGCTCGATGGCTGTGTCGATGGCTCGATTCCCGCATGGAATAGCTCTTTGTGTGATCCACAAATTGTTATTTCGAGTATGGGTGTGATGTGTGTTTGTAAACGCACCTACGACACAGGAGAAAATCCTAGAGCACGGCAACATTTTTACCTTTTAAAAAAACTGTTCAACAAACTTTACGGTTGGTCTCCTAGCTACTATCACGTGGTAAATCCCTAAAAGGAGCTGAATATTGGGAGCAATATTCAGGTCCTTTTGGTCGTACCGTAGATTTGTATAGCCTATATATCTATCGCCTGTCTAGCCGCCGAAACCGATCTTTGTTCTACCCAATACAATAAAAACGACCCTGGAGTTTCTGAGATTATCGTTCAAACAAACCTGTCAGCTTAGCAATATTATTTAAAAAAATATTGTTAAATGTATGAATATTTTATTTCCAGAATCTTTGACTGATTCCAAGCAGCTGAGAGGAGGCGTGATATTCTTAAAAGAACTGCCAACGACCAGTACATCAAAAATCGACAGAAAGAAACTTAAAGAAATGGTGCTGGACTTACCCAGAGAATGAGATTCAGTTACAAATAAAATTGATACAATTTTAGATCATGGTCTTTTTGTAAATTAAATGAGTACTAACTGATAAGGTTATAGGAGAGAGCCACGAATGGGCCGGCTTCACTTGAATGATACCACAGCCTCACGGAAAACTGGCCTCAATCGCATGATGAAAACCGGCGTAAAGCCATCCTAAATCCTCAAACCCCTATCCTTAAATCCCTAATGATCCACAAGAGGCCGGCAACGCACTTGTAGTAACTGCTTTGATATTGGGAGTGTCCATGGGCGGCGCTGATTGCTTGCCATCATATAAAAAAGTTATAATAGAGGAAAGATTTTTCCCAGTAAGATTCTGATAACCTTTCTCTCCACATGACCAATGTTTTGACACCCGCAAAAAGAAGTTAAATTTTAAGTCGTAACTTGCTTTCGCCCGCGGCTTCGCCTTCGTGGTGTGCCATGTCCTATTCCGGTTTGTATCCTATGCCTGTGCCAAATTTCATCAAGATTCGTCCTGTCGTTTTGGCGTGATTGAGTAAAAAACATCCTTCCAAACATCGAAAATTTCGCATTTATAATACTAGCTTTTGCCCGCGACTCCGTTTGCGTGCAATAATGGCATCCTGGAGATTTTTAGTACAAACTAAGTCTCGAGTTTAAAACTATGTCTGAACGAAATTTTACACAAATCGGTTCAGTAGTTTAGGCGTGAAAACGACAGACAGAGTTACTTTCGCATAATTTATAATATTAGTTTGAATTAATAAGAATTAAGATAAGATTAATAGTTGACAACGGCGGCTGACAAAGTTGCTGGCGTAGGTACTTAACAAAAATAACATCATAATGAACTAGGTGTTCTTGTTATTTCTAGTCTATACATAAAAGGATTCTTATCTCTTTGTAAAGAGGTTAACATAATGTCATCAAGATCATTACAACAAAAGAAGATCTTCTATATAATAACAATGTACGTACGTACAAACATTACACAAATAAACTGTATCAAGATAAGAATGACACGATGAACCTATCTATACTCATATTATAATCAGGTAAAATTTGTAAGCTTGTATGTAGGGGGTAATCTTTGGAACCGCTGGTCGGATTCCCAAAATTCTTTCACTGATAGATAGCTGCAATGTTCCTGAGCGCTGTAGGCTATAAAACATCACGCTACGATCAAATGGAGCCGAGCAGCAAGTGAAGCAGCGCGGGAGTAGCTTGTTGTTAAGTAAAGAGACTAACGTTTTTGCTGTGCGTAGATGGCGCTGTTGCAGCGTAAGGACTTGTTAGACCCTCGAATACAGGGAAGCAAAAATTAAATTTAGTTAATGAAAGTAAAGTTGCGAAGGAAGGGTGTAAGCGTGGGCTCGAATGTCTGGGGTGATATCACGGCTTTGCAGAAAACAGGCGTGAAACAACTACAGCGTTGGTTTTCGCGATGTGAGTGAGGTTACCTCAGGCCCAACCTTGGGGAAGGGGCCCCCATTTCTTTTCAATCCAAATTCAAAGGAGTTACGAGTGCGTTGCCGACGTTTTGGGGATTAGGGATCGGGGAGGGCAAGGATTAGGCCTCCGGCAATCTCACTCACACGGCGAAACACAACGCTGTGGTTGTTTCACGCCGGTTATCTGTGAGGCCGTGGCCGCGTGGTATATTCGGTCGAGAAGACCCATTCGTGCCGAAGCATGGCTCTTCCACATTTCACTTCAATAAAAATATATGAAGCAATGAATAATATGACGGACCGCACAATGCGTAGCATGTTCGTAAACAATATAGTGTGACCTACTTTAAAGTACCTTATTATATTATTATATAGTATAGTATTAGTCTATTGTTAACTATAACTTATTGTATTTGTGGGGTATTAAGTACATTATATATTTTAATTTTTGTATTAATTATTGTTTTTTATTTTGTACCAACTACCTACTTCCACGCATTTTATTCGTACCTACTGTGATAACTTTTATCCTATAGCTTAATTAAGTCGATAAATGGACTATCCACATCAAAAGACTTTGTGAATTCGAACCTATGAAATTAATGAATACTTCCGATGAATAGCGCGTTCAAGCAATGAAACAAACTTTTCACATTTATACGTTCGCGTAGAATAGTGACTTCCTGCAGATTTTTTGTATAAAAAATATCCTATATTCTTTCTCGAGTTTCAAACTATGTCTGTACCTCACAGAAATCGGTTCAGTACCTAGTTTAGGCGTTAAGAAAAGACAGATAGGCAGACCGAGTTACTTTCGCAGTATTAATAATATAATATTAGTTTGGTAGTTTGGATTTGCAATAAATGTCTAACCAATAAATAAATAAGTAATAGTACGTCTACCTTCCTTTAATACTTATATAGCTATATAAATTAATACACGAACGGTTTATCGTCAATCACAATTTACATTCATGTAATAAATACAAATTATATTTCAAAACAATACACAAACACTGTATAAGTCATACACTATTGAATTAATGTTAACGATTTCTAGGGTAATTAATGTTAATTATTTAATTAATTTGTACTTGATTTTATTGGGTTCCTTTTAGTTTACTTCGAAGCCATGTTGCAAGGTATATTTTTTTATGTGATAGGAATCAGCGCTGCCCATAAATACCCGCAACAACGAAGGTGCTACGAGTGCGTTACCGAAATTATGGGGATGAGGGTTTTGGGGATTTATAGATTAGGGGAGGAGAAATATTGGGCCTCCGGTAACCTCACACACACGGCAAAACGCGCATTTTAAGCATTCATCACCACGTTTGCTCATGGCGGATGGCGATTTCAAACCTATATAATTAGGAATTATAAGTCCAGGTTTCCTCACGATATTATCCTTGACCCTATGCCAATGTTGTTAAAATAAACTTAGAAATTACATATTCGAAAAAAGTCACATTGGTATTTGCCAGGATCACCACTCTCGTGTATGAGAAACCTCAAACCCGACTTTAAAAAAAGATTTTCTTACAATGATTTATTCATAGCCGTTCCATATGATCGGTAGCAGATAATGTGATGCGCTAGCGCATAGTGTGACTACAACCGGTTCACAACGGTAGTGTGATACGTGAAGTGAGTTTTGTTAAAAAAATATTGTAAGTTTTTTTCTGTTAATTTTTTTGAAAAAAAATAGTCTTATAAATTTTTTTTCTTTTTTTTATTTTCGTTTATAATTATTTAATTTCGTAATAGTTTAAACGTTTAAAATTCGTATGAAAATATTTTATTATTTACGAGTAGTATGTACTTATAGTGTGAACATAATTATTGTTTTTAATTTTTTAAACAGCTTTTTAAGTAAGTAGGTAATCACTCATACTTCAAAAAGTTATCAACTATCTTGCTTTAATAGTGGCCTACCTTATCCTAACTACTTTTGGAATGCCGAGTTCCGTGTTACAACTAAATATGTAGGTATTTAAACATACCTAATAATGTATACTACAAAATATAGTAATATAATACAAAATACAAATAAAATCCACAGTTAGCTTGCTCAGTTCTCAAAAATACAAATCTATTACTAATATTATAAAGAGGTAAAAGGACATGGCCAACTTTTGTATGGGCGTTTGCATAGTTATTGAATTCAATGTACATCAATAATTTTTGGTGTTTACATTCGTGAATATTATTAAATTAAATTGCAATAAATAAAACACATGAAGAACTCGTAATTATAACAAACAAGACGAAAATAGTTTCACTAAACCTTTAGTCAGATTACTGGCCATAAGTGCACGAAATAAGATTTTGCTTTTAAAAACCATGGCGTTTTAATTATTTATTTATTTATTTATAAAATAAAACAAAAGAATATATTTAAAGAATAATGATTTATTTATTAAGGAGAACAAATAAAATAAAACTACGTAATAATTCACTTTTATATTTTTATTATAAAGTGTATTTTATTATGTTTGTGTATGGAATGTACATTTCTGTAATATATATTCTGTATAATTGGGTAATAATATGGTAGTACTTTCCATTTGAAGCGGCCTGCTTAAAACAGGTGGTAAAGGTGGTGGCTCTGGTGAGCTAACCACTTGAATATAAGGAGCTGCTGCATTGTTGTCCGAACCCAATTCCTGCAAGTTTCGTGATAAGTCCTGCACTGTCTGTCTATTTGCATTTGAATACAGCACACATGACAAACATAGTTGCTTCTTAAGGTCTGAAAATAAACCCCAGTTAGAATAAACACATGTTTTCAAGTTTTATGTTATTGTACAGTGAGAAGTATTATGTTACAACATGCCTACTTTAAAGAAGTCTCAAGTCAAACATGGAAAATACATAAAGATAGATATTATAATCACACATACCTGATATGATATTATAGATTAATATAGATAAATACAAGTACATATATAAAACAACGAATAAAAAACAAAATGCTTACCACATTAATAGTATTTTGTGATATTAGGCCAGCTAGCAATGGAGAGTCCATACTGACATTATGGTGTCTTATTTTTCGAACCGATTTACCAAGGCAAGCGATGTTATGCCCCAGTAGTCTCTCATGTTCACCAGCCTCAGTATTCAATAATAAGAAGCGTGGTTGACAAATGAATGTCCCCAGAGGCAACTAAAAAAAAGATGCACTACTTAAAATCGCATACCATTATAAAACATAAAAAAACAGACTAAGTATTATACTATTCCGACTTCATACCTGGGTTTGAGCTATGGTTAACCAACGTGAAAGTTTTGTTTGATGGGGTGCAGAAAGCGAGGATATGAGACGCCTCTGCAGCCTTTGTACGCCTATTCCGCAGTTGATGCACCTCATCGTAATCCACAAAACAAATCCAAAACGCAAAACAGTTACTCCAGTATTATTAGCAAGGTTAACAAAAACACGCTGTCAAAAGTGTCAAACACGATCCTTTTCGTTTAAGTTTTTTTTTTGGTAAATTGGATCAAAATAAAACATAATATTATTATAATATGAGTATATTTTAAAATGCAACTAAAACCAATGAATACAGTTTCGTATGAATAAAATGTTCCTAGTGTAATGCATTTGTCGATCATATCACACGTTTTCTACGAGTGTAGTTTCAGACACGTGGTTTGGAATTGGAACGTCTTTTTATTTATCTTTCTCTATGGACTATTATGGCGAAACTTGACAAACGATAAGTTGATTTTGTTGCATTACTTTTACATGTTTTTAATAATAATTGTCAGGTCTGGAGAGGCTAAAAACTACGTAATAATTAATATTTCTATTTATATTTTACCGTGTATTAATTGTGTTTGTGTACGTGGAATGTACTTTTTTGGCCATGTCCTTTGTAAGTTTGTATGTGGGGGTAATCTTTGGAACCGCTGGTCGGATTGCCAAAATTCTTTCACTGATAGCTGTAAAATATCACGCTTTGATCAAATGGAGCTGAGCAGCGGGTGAAACCGCACGGGAGTAGCTAGTATGTTATAATACAAGATAGACATAAAATCCACAGTTAGCTTGATCAGTTCTTAAAGTAGTTTTGGTTTATATGTAAACTACTTTCTAATATAAAAAAATATTTTTATTCATAATCATCTTCAGCCAAAGTTTACTAACCTTCCAAGTTGTGTTGACAATCTACAGATATTGTTTATTTATATTTATTTCAACCTAAATGCAAATGTTTCTGTCAGTGCATTGGCCATTGATATTCTTTATGTGTTTCTTTTTTCAATATAGTATGCAGATTCTTGTCCATTGTCAATATCCAACATAAGCAGACTACTTAGTTATTCAAGGAATTAAGGGCGTCAAACGACCTGACAAATTACCTGATGGTAAGCAAACGGGGCCGCACATGGCAACAACACCAGAGGAGTTGCTGCGTTTATGAGATTAGAGAATTGAGGAGCACCTAGCTTCACTGACGAACAGACTGACAGACTACTTTTCTATTTTGACGTTTCAAAAGTTGGAATAAATTTTAATGATTTTGACTTTACAAGTAAATTGGGAATTGGATAGGATAAGGCCTTCGGTATCTTAACTCATATAAACACGAAATAAGCATCGTTTCTTGCCAGTATTCTCTGAGGCCGTGGTACCAATCGAGTCGTCTCATTTGTGCCAAAGCATATAATAATATCTTCAACACTTAATCACACTTTATCAACATTTACCGTCGAGTCAATGCCCTTCCTCTTAACGTAATCAATTCTAAACATAAACAAGTTTTTAAGTAGTATAAAAACATAATGGGACAGTTTATCAATAAACTAGCTATTACCCGCTGCTGCGACCCCGGCATACTTACCCTACTACCCTACCCTATCCTTAGGGGCAAGCGCAATGAGGCATCGCGGCCTCGGCCCAGAGCAGAAGGAACGGGGATGGTTTTAGTCAGTAAAAGTCTGACATTTTCTCTCGACTTACGCTGGGCGGGAGAAGTCATTTGATGATATCCTCGAGTATGATCATATTGAAATTTATACTAGCGACTCGACCCTTCTTTGTACGGGTGTCAGGAGCTAAGACAGAAAAAACCTACCCTATCTACCCTACCTACCTTACGTAGGTACTTTACACTATCGTATGTCCTTCTCCCAGTTCTTAGCTATACCTCCCCACCAATTTTCTGCCGAATCGGTTCAGCCGTTCTTTAGTTTTAAATAATGTAACTAACACGATTTTCTTAAGTTATAAATAAATTAGCAACCCGCCGCGCTTCATTTCTATTAAAAAACCGCATCGAAATCCGTTACGTAGTTTTAAAGATTTTGGCATACATAGGGATATAGGGACAGAGACTACAATGTAGTGTTGATGAAATTGGTAACTGACACAAGGAGGTGGGTAATAAATACAGATTCCAATCTATGTTCTTCAATAAAGTAAACTAAATTAAATATGAATGCCCTGTATATCGAAGACTCGAAGTGTCTTGCAAAATCTGTAATGACTATAAGATAACCGAGCGACGATTACTATTATCTGGTAAAGGTATAGAAAACATAAAACATAAAGCAGAAAACTATTATCGTTGTATTTTGCCGTGTTGGAGAGTTTACCGGAGGCCCAATTCTTCTCCTCCACCAATACCCAAATCTCCGTTACCCTTATCCCCAAAACACCTGCAACTTACTCATAATTTCCCAGGTTTTGCGGGTGTCCATGGACGGCCATTGGTTGCCATAGACACCCGCAACACAGGAAGACTTACGAGTGCGTGGCTGGCGTAGTTTTGAGAATAAGGGTTTCGGAGATTTTAGAATAGGGATGGATTTGGTAGGACTGGGCCTTCACGTCACAGAAGAAAAACTTAGTCCGAGGCAAAGTTTTTAGAAGGAAAAACACCTATATATAAATGTACTAGCTGATCTGGAAAACTTTGTTCCCCCTCAACGTTTTCTGACATTTTAAACCTTCCCTGGAGTTCCACTAATTATTCAAAATTAGCCAAATCGGTAAAGGCATTGTTGAGTTATAACATTACAACAAAAAATGGCATTGATTTTTATATGTATAGATTTCACAATTACTTGATTTTGGTGGACCAGCTAAGAGTTGAAGTAAAATACTCAAAATAACAATGGTTTCAGGAACTGCTCATCATGGCTACTCGAGCGTACGATGCAGTACATTGGTACATGGAGGAGGTTGGAGCTCGCGTGGTAGCGAAGACCGGGATCCCTTCAGACAGACATCATGTAGGCAAGCTCATTCTCCAGAGCCTGCAAGATGACCCAGGCTTTATTCTGCAGGTAAAATTCGACTTACATTATTAAATTTTAAAGTATATTCTTCATTGTAGTTCACTTACGTCCTTCAGTCTAGCTTAAGGTTTATCGGTAAGAACCTACTGTTAGACGCATGCATTGCATTGCATGAGTATTATAATAGAAACTAAAACGTGACATAGTTTTCCAAACAGTTTAGTAAAAATGGGCAAGTTTTCACATAAATGTGCATATTTATTTTATTTTTTTAAGTGTTGAGGGATAATAAACAGCTTCCACACAATATGCAAACCAAATATCAACATTAAAAGCATTATCTGCTGATTACAAAAATGTCAATCAAAGGGTGCCACTAGAGAAACATAAGGTAAAATATAAAAAAAATACAAAACAGAGAAACATGTGCATTAAAATAGTGAAGGAAATAGTAAATATAGAAATGGCAAATTAATAATTTTATAGCTCCTACTTAAAAGCTAGGAGCATAAAACTGCTCATTTTAATTAACTTAGCACTGATCTTAAAATCTTAAAATTAAAACATCACAATTATGAAACAAATGAAGCAGAAAATAGCTACGTAGTAACTTCTATTAAATCTGCAAATCATTTTATTCTCCAGATCGATGGGGCTACAGGTAAAACAGAAACCTTCGGCTCAGCTTTAGACAGGAGCATCCGATGTGCTGTCTCCCTCACCAACATGGGGCTGAAGAAGGGCGACGTCATGGTGCTGATGGGACCAAACCATTTAGACTTCTGTATTCCCCACAATGCTGCGCTATACCTTGGAATCATGGTGGCATCGGTTGATGCTACTTTGGGAGTTAGTAAGTATAATCATATTAATATTGATATGATACTATCGGCTCTTCTTTTTGCACGGGTGTCAGGAGTTTTTTTTATGGTATAAATCGGCAAACTAGCAGACGGATGGTAAGCAATCGGCGCCGCCCATGGACACCCGCAACACCAAAGGAGTTACGAGTGCGTTGCCGGCCTTTTGGGGATGGGGGTTGCGGATATAAGAATTGGGAAGGGATAGGGGAAGGGAAGGGATTGGGCCTCCGGTAACCTCACTCACACGGCGAAACACAACGCTGTGGGTTGTTTCACGCCGGTATTCTGTGAGGCCATGGTATCACTCCGGTCGAGCCGACCCATTCGTGCCGAAGCTTGGCTACACTTAAAATGTGAGTGCGTTGCCCGCCTTTTAGGGGTAAAGGTTTCGGAACTTTAAGGATTGGAAAGGGTTTGGAGGGGGGGGAGGAATTGGGCCTTCTGTAACCTCACTCACACAGCGAAACACAGCGCTGTGGTGGTTTTTTGTGAAGCCGTGATATCACAACGGTCGAGCCGACCCATTCGTGCTGCAGCTTGGCTCTTCCACACTTAAAACTCTCGTACTTCTACAGTTTGCTATTTACACCATTTTAAATGTAACCCATTACGTTTATTAAATTTTATTTCATAAGAACCTTCCCCTGGCCTAGCCCCAACAGAAAAATGCCAAATAAATTTGGTCCAAGCGTTGTTTAGTATATACATAAATATAAATATAGATAATAACAATCTTGATTATAATAATGTGAATATTGACGCGTATCACGACTTGATAAAAGTAAAGTGTTCAATAAATAATAAATTGCATTTTTATGCAGCTGTACACTGACTTGCTAAGTCAACGACTTCTGAAGAACTGTCTGGAAAGGTGAAAGACGTAGGTAGATGTTGTGTGATTTAAAGTCAAAGCATTTATTGCAAACTAACACCCGGTTTCTGAAAGGCTTGTCAACGCTAAAATTAACTAATCTCCTGTTAAATCTCTTGTCAAGTCATCTGATTGGTTGTTTATAATTCTTAATAATAGAGATTAAATTGATTTTAACATTGATCGGCCTTTCGGAAACCGGGGGTAAGTGTTTAAAGTCTATACTCAATACTCAATACTTTATTGCTTTCCACATGTATTCTTAAGTGGTAGTCTTATAAATAGTACATAATAAGTTATATAGTTATATATATTTATATTTTAAGGGTTTTTTTTATTTATTGAAACACTTAATCTACACTGTGAACTTGGTGAACTGTGTGTGTGCGCGTATGTGTTTGTGTGTGTGTGTGTGTGTGTGTGTGTGTGTGTGTGTGTGTGTGTGTGTGTGTGTGTGTGTGTGTGTGTGTGTGTGTGTGTGTGTGTGTGTGTGTGTGTGTGTGTGTGTGTGTGTGTCTAATATTTCCTATATCAGTAGCATGTAGTATGGAGCGAAAAACTAATGAAATGACCTGAACTCGGACAGACACGTGAGACTATCCTTACGTTACTAAATTCAAATCCTTTATTTATGAACATAGGCATGTATGTACAATAAGATCTAATTACATAAAATTTATATTACCACATTACCACATAGGTTTAATTAAGTTTTTAAAATAGGAACGCTAAGTATTATAAATAATTCTATTATTATTACTTAGATCCATTATATACACCTATGGACGAAAGGACAGCGGAGACTTAGTGAATAGACGTAACCATAAAAATGAGACGACATGTCATTTTTGCTAAGTATATGCTGTGCTTTTTATCAACACACGACGCGTGCAAAGTCGCAGGCGCAAGCTAGTAGAAGATAAATGACTGAATCACTACGAATTTTTGTTACAGATGAGCTAAGGGATCTCTTTCACAAGAACAGGCCGAATATAATTTTTGGCCAAAGTGAAAAGATGAAGGATATAGAGAGAGCATTGACCCTATCTGAAATAGACGCTAAAGTTGTAACTTTTGACAAAGATGGCAGCCATACTTCATTAGCGCAACTCCTTGAGGTTAAAGACAAAGAAGCGATAAAGAACTTTAAGTAAGTGATTTTAACAATTAATTTAGTAAGTTGCTGCAATACTTAGAATAAAATGACGTCACAACAACAAATACTAATTGTATGAAACATCGTGTTGACTTGTTATTTTTTCTTACGACTGCGTTTTCTTACATTTCTGCAATAGGTGCAATGCCTGAGTGTAACTGGCTGCTGTACAACGTCCAGTTCAGACATCTTGAGGGATCCACAAATTGTTAAAAAGATCTTAGTGTGTAATTATTTACCTATTCGTTTATATCCAGATTATTTTATACCATCTTTATTCTTTACATCCACTCCAATATCAGAATCATCCTTAGTATTAACTATATCATTTATTTCCAGACCAACAGACTTCGATCCTGAAGAAACAGTGGGATATTTGACTTCAACCAGTGGAACTACAGGTGTGCCAAAAACAGCCATGTTGACACACAAGAACTTAAGTATTGGAATGCCTTATATCTGGTAATTTCTTACTCAGTGATTAATTTCCTTATTATCATACAAAATACGTTTCAATGATAAATAGATTGCCTTCTTTTTAAATTACTTAATAGCTATATCAGGTACTAGTTAACTCTTCTCATTCCTTAACCTGTCTGAATCTATCAAAAAAACTAAGGTTTTTTAAAGTATTAGTATACATAATATGAATATATACGTATATAACAACGACACTGGAAAGAAGAGACATTAAAATGCTTTTAAAACCGAAACACTGTTGAATAACATCTTTAGAAAATCTTTAATATACATATATAATGGCTTAATAATGAATAAGAATAAAGACTGCAGATGCAAAAAATTATTCAACTTTTAACAGATTGTCCATTCAAAGGACAAGGAAACCACTCTGTATGATAAAAAAGCTCATCTTAAAACCTTTAATTATAATACCCTACTAACTTCATATTTCAAAAAATCTAAATTTATTTATTTCGCATCACACGGAAAAATAGATTGTGATTGGACCCTCCTTTTAAGCAAATAATACCTGTATTAGGAAATACGATACAACATTTACGCGGTTATTAATGCGAAAAATAATTATTTAAATACCCTGATAGGCTTGACGTTTCTTTCTTTGAAGATTTAGTTTTTTGTAAAATTTCATGATGTGTGTAGGTACAATGAAGTGGAGATAAATAAATATTTTTCCTCTTTTGTAGGGCCAACTTCTCTAATTTCCCAACACCAACGATACTGGTATTCATGACATCACCTGCCCAGTGGCTGTCAGCTGGCATCCATTACGTCTTTTCGTCAGTCTTCAAGTATACTCGATTGCAGTCATCAGCACCTATCACTCCAGAACATTTTGCTGACTTGGTCAATGTGTATAAGGTAGACCTTCATTTATTTTAGAGACTACTACTGAGTACAATAAAACTTTGCTACACTGTTATGTACTTGCACCAACATTATTTGTTACCATGTTTTTTTTTTGTTCAGCCTTCTTACCTAGCTACAAGTCCTAATATGATGGTGACGATGATGGCAAACGCTAAATGTGACTTCACCTGCTTCAAATATGTAGGATTGGGAGGCAGTGCTGTAACACAAGATGTCATTGATGAAGTCAAGGTAGGAAGTTTAAATAAATATTTTCGTTATTATAAAAAATAAACTTTTCAGCAATTGGTTATTGAGTCTTGGAATCGATGTGGATCTTGGACCAAATGTTATAATAATAGATTTGATTGGAATCTGAACATTGGCGCTGAGAAAATAAAAAATCTGATTATTACATCGGTTGGATAATGACATAATATTACACAAGTATTTTTTTATGTTTTATTGCTTATAACAAGCAAACGATACTTAGACAAATCGACGACGAAGTTAAGGAGTAGAAGATCGCGGCTTTGAATAAAATGTATCAAAAGAAAGAAAAAATACGTGTTTGATACTGTTATGAATTTAAAAAAGCGGGTCGAAATAACAACCATTATAAAGGCATGACGATCCCTAATGTACTTGAAAGCCGTGTACAAAAAGACGATATTTATAACAGTACCAATAAAGCTACAAATAGTACTCGAAACACTTCCCTGACAAAACAAATAAAAGTCTTTTTTAAATGTCTATCGTATTATTCTTCCAGAAAATAGCCCAAACAGATGAAGTGTTCATTTTATATGGAATGACTGAAGCGACTGGACTTACTGTGCAGCATGACATGTATTCAGCGCATGGATCTTACGGGAGACCGATTTTTGGAATACAGGCAAAAGTAAGTAGACCATTTATTTAATCATAAATATTAAGTAATTTATTGTAAGTTGGTGAGAAGTTGTATATTAAGAATATTATGAAGTATCAGACCAAGCTTACCATGATTAAGCAAAATTGTTACCTGAGCAATCAGCGCCGCATATGGACACTTATAATAGGAAAGGAATTAACCAAAGGAATTATTACAAATGCATTGCTTGTTGCCTTGTTGGTTATTAGGGATTTAATGATCGGGGATATGAGGTTTAAGGATAATCAAATGATGTCTCTTGCCTTGGGTCGGTCGAGAGAAATCAAATAAGAGCCTGGCTCTGACTGAAAATAACAAATATCCTTTTGCCTCCGAATGCGATAAAACATAGCTTAGATCAAGACAAGAAAAAGATAATTTACGAACAAAAAAAATCTAGATTCTCAAGCTTCACTACTATTTATTATGAGTAGCTGATAGCATTTTTATTATAAATTTTTGGTTTCAGCTGGTGGATCCCATTACTAATAAAGTCATCACGGAACCCAATGTTCCAGGAGAAGCATGGTTCAAAGGTCCAAGTATTTTTAAAGTAAGATTTGTTATTTGTATTTTATTAACGGGTGTGTTACGTCAATTATTTTTAGGTATATGAACGTGGACGAAAGCAACACCAAAGCAGGTAGAAATTAGGGGACTGGGGATGGGGGTAGGTGAAAGATTGGGTGTCCAGTAACCTCACTCACACAAAGAAATACAAAGCTAGCGTTGTTTCATGCTGGTTTTCTGTGAGGCCGAGGCATTACTCCGGTTGATCTCGCTCATTCTAGCCGAATTTTGGTTTCTTCCGTACTTAGACTTTTTTCAGTCTATTTGTATTTCAATAAGTAATTTGATTAATTATTATTTTTTATGGTCTTTCTAGGGATACTACAATAACCCTGAAGTGACGAAAGAGGTTATAACAGAAGACGGCTGGCTCAAATCTGGTGACATTTTCTACAGAGACCAGCACTGGAACTTATTCTTTGTGGAACGATACAAGTTACTCTTGAAGTATAGGAATCATCAGGTAATTTTCTCAATGAAGACATGATTGTGCTTTATTTTGTATCGTTAATACTCTTGGTATTGTTAAAAGTTGATATTACCAAAAAATTTTTGAACGAAGAATCGACAAATCTCTTATGATTTGTTTGTATCGACGGTCGAGGTAAGACTTTTTTTTATTTAAAAAAACGTTGCCCCACATTAGGATTTTCTCCTGTGTCGTGGGTGAGCGTTTACAAACACGCAATTTCACATACATATGAAAAATGTACAACAATTTGTGGATCACACAAAGTTGTTCCGTGCGGGAATCGAACCCGCGACACGTTGTACGGCAGCTACTTGCCCAGCCATCGCACCAACCGTGCAGTCGAAGAGTAAGATTGGTAGACTATTGTCAAGTTTAAGAGTCTTGATTTCAGTAAAGGAACAAATTTAAACCCAAAAAACCAATAAAAACCACCAAGATTTTTAATTTATGAAAAATTGAATTCTGGTGTTAACACTAACACCAATATTTGTAAGAGCTGTTTTTCATTAGTTTTTTCTTACGTTTCTTTCGTTTACCATATATTGTTATGCTGATTCAGGTATCCCCAGTGGAAATTGAGACGGTTATAATGAAGCACCCTGGAGTTCTGCACGCAGCTGTCACAGGTATACCGGATAAGGAGTGTGGAGATCTGGTCGTGGCGTGCGTTGTGCCAAAGCCTGGCTGCAATCCAACAGCACAGGAGATCAAGGACCTGGTCAAAGGTAGACTGGTCATCAATTGATATTCCTAGAATTTGTAGGCCGAGGTCTAATACTGATATTATATTTTCAGAATCGTTGACCGACTCCAAACAACTGAGAGGAGGCGTGATCTTTTTGAAAGAACTTCCAACGACCAGTACATCCAAGATCAACCGACAGAAACTGAAAGAATTGGTGCTGAGCTTGCCTCGACAATAAATAAATATAAAAAGTACGAAGACCATGTGTATTATTTTTGTTCTTTTTTTCTCTTTACCCTTATTACAAAACTACAACAATACAAAAGTATTAAATGTTACAATCAAAAAAGTTTTGCAAGGTTTTTTTTTTGAAGGCAGAAAGTCATCAAATGACTTCTATCGCCCCCTGGGAAAGACGAGACAGAGTGCCAGACTCTTACTGACTAAAAACCACATTGTTTCTTCTTTTGCTCCAAGCCAAGGCTGCGATACATTATTACGCTTGCATCTGTTACAACAAGAACTCTGTGGGCTTTTTCAAATGTGCAGTTTCTTTAAAAAGGGGGTGTGTGTTTCTCTACCTGTATTACACAACCATCACTTTATTTCAGTTTTCGCAGTTGTAACCAACAATGGAACAAAACTTACAATCTGAATAACAAACACTTCTTATAATTCGATCATCGCGAAACTTTTCAATTATATGAAGATTATTTGGCATACATCTTTATGGTAGTAACGAGGTAGTCTGATGATAGAACCTTGGGTTACACACTGGAAAGCAAATTGAGTTTGGGCTCATTAGAATGGCCATTACTTGTGATAACTTAAGTGTGGGAGAGCTATGATTCGGCACGAATGAGTCGGCTCGACCGGAGTGATACCACGGCCTCACAGAAAACCGGCGTGAAACAACCACAGCGTTGTGTTTCGCCGTGTGAGTGAGGTTATCGGAGGCCCAATCCTTCCCCACCCCCTCCTCAATCCCTAAATCTCCAAATCCCTAATCCCTAAAAGGTCGACAACACATTCGTAACTCCTCCGTTGCGGGTATCCATGGGCGGCGCTGATTACATCAGGTAATCCGTCAGGTCGTTTGCCGATCTATTACATAAAAAAAATTGGGACGGTACAAACATACCTTTGATAAGAAGCTTGACTTCTTAGTTTTTTTAGCAAACATATTTTTTACAATAACGGTAAACCCGCTTTCATTTATTTATTTATTTTACACTTTTGCACATACATGTGTGTACAAGGTGGACTTAATGCCACAGGCATTCTCTCCCAGTCGAACCTTTGGGCGATGCAGAGATAGCAGTTGGTGCAAGAAGCAAGCAAAATCGTGATATTACTGATAAATACATATTTTATACACTTACTTACATAAATCCTATTAGAATAAATAAAATTATATATGGGAAATAAACTTACATATAATATTTACATACACTACATATAATATTTACATATACTACATATGTGCATATAACAACATACATGTAAAAATATTATTGTGACTCGGCTAACCTCTTCAGTAGAAGCTCTCGAACTTTCTGCTTGAAGGTCAGGCGACTGGACACCGTCCTGACATCGGAGGGGAGTGCATTCCACAATAGAATGGCCTGAACAAAGAAAGAAGAATGGAGGAAGTTGGTACGGTGAGTGGGGCATTGGAGAAGACGGTTATGAGAAGAACGAAGATATTTGTTGTGATTAGTGAAAGTGTATTGAAAATAAGGAGCTAGGTAGCTGGGCGAACAGGGTGAATCTAGGTAAGAGAAAAGAGTGGTTAGCGCCCTTTGCTCCCTGCGCTGGCGAATGGGCAACCACTTTAATTGCAGCCGATGTGCAGAAACATGGTCATATTTACGCAGGTTGAAAACGAATCGAATGCAGTTATTCAAAAGTCGGTCAAGTTTATTGAGGAGATCTGCATTCAGGTCGTAGTAACAAACATCAGCATAGTCAATAATAGGGAACAACAAGGCCTGCACCAGCATTGATTTGGTGACCGACGGAAGCAGATTTTTAACACGGTAAAGTGCCCGCAACGACCCCGTGACCATTTTACATACACTGGTGACCTGTGCCTGCCAATTCATATTGGTGTCGATGATTAAACCCAGATCCTTAACGCTGCTACTGAAAGGGATGATCACACCATCGAAACGGCCAGCCTGTAAAGAGGAAACGTCAACTCTACTAAGCAAGCGAGAGCTGCCTATAGTAATAGCCTGACATTTGGTAGGGTTCACCGCAATGCCAAATCTTTCTGACCAGTTACTGATGGCAGTTAAGTTGTCATTTATATTGGAAATGGCATCAGTCAGGTTGTCAATGTTGGCTTGACAGTAAAGCTGTAAGTCGTCGGCATAAAGATGGTACGCACACCGAAGGTTAGCAGTAATTAGATTTATAAAGATAGAGAATAAAAGAGGAGAAAGAATACCGCCTTGAGGAACGCCAGCCTTTAAATCGCACCAACCAGACGTACTATCGTCAAGTTTGATTGACTGCTGACGTTCCTGAAGATAAGAGGAAAACCAGTCCAGTGATTCGCCAGAGATCGTGAGATAGGACAGGATGGCTAAAAGGATGTCGTGACTGACCATATTGAAAGCATTCGAGAAGTCAATCAAGACCAGAACTGTAGCCTTGGTATCCTCAAAGCCAGCTCTAATATCGCCAGTCACTTTTAGGAGGGCGGAGATAGTGCTATGTCCTGGTCTGAAACCGGATTGTAGAGGGCTGATGAGAGAATTCCGGTATATGAAGCTAGAGAGTTGCTTGTGAACACAGGATTCAAGCACTTTGGAAAGAAAAGGAAGTATGGATATTGGACGGAAACGGAAAAGAAATGGCTGTTAAGGTTGTCTATGTCAATAGTACTAGGAAGGTCTGAGTGTTGCGTTTTACCGATACCTAGAGATCCGAGGAATTTCCAGATATCAGCAGAAGAAGAGGAAGAGATATTTTCGAGAATATGGCGGCGTTTGGCGTTGCGCACCATCTGGTTGCATCTGTTTCGCGCAACTTTAAAGGCCGCCCAATTTTCGTCAGTGCGATCCCTCTTGTGCTTACGAAAGGCACGGTCACGGCGTCGCATCGCCATCCTAATACCCCGAGTCATCCACGGTGCAGGTGGCCGCTTTACCTTTATTCTCCTAACGGGAGCGTGACGATCGTATAAAGCAGTCACTTTGTCATTGAATATTGCCACTTTTTCGTCGACTGTAGTGGCTTCGATCAGCGGCTCCCAATCGATCAAGGATGCATCACCTTGCAGCTTTGCTCCGTCCATCCGCGCAAAACAACGCCTATACAAGACCCGCGGTTTCACCTTGGGTGGTTTGAGGATATAGGAGAGGAAAATCATGTCATGGTGAGAAAATCCAGGAGCGTCATGCTGACCGTGGCAGGACACAAGGGAAGGATTTGAGGTTAGAATAAGGTCAAGCCAGGAGTCATCGCCAATAAGGTTGTGGTGAGTGGCGTCAAGCGGTAGCACCTGTAGGCCAGCCGACTCAATTATGTAACGGAGTTTACGGGTACGGGAGGATAGGTGGGAAAGAAGATTAGTGTTGAAATCACCCACGACTATGTGATGTATGTACTCGGAACCCAAAGATTCTAATACTGATTCGAAGTCAGTGAAATAATCAACACTGGGAGGACAGTACACAACCCCCAATACAGCTTTCCCCCCCTGGCTACAAACTTCAAGAAAAAGATACTCCGCAGGACAGTTGGGAGAAGATGTAAATAGTATCTTATAGGAGAGTTCACTGCGGAGGTATATACCTACGCCACCCCCACGCCTGGTAGTTCGGTCGTTCCGTATAAAAACGTACCCAGGGAGGGGGTAGGTAGTAGAGGGTAGAAGCTTTCATCTATTTATCAATTATTGATATATTCATATTCGAGAATACTACAAGTTTTTTTAATAATATTAAGGAGTTAATATTGAGGAGTTAAAATCATTGAGTAAAATTACACAATGAATTTATACACTATCTGTGGGTGTGGTCGTTGTCTTTAGTATTAATGATAAAATGGTGCGATTTAAGATGACTGTCATTATTTTAATTAAATATACATGCGTGTGCACACGGCTTCGTCTGAAATCCAATTTATCTTGGTCTGGCTTTACCTGTTCTGTTTTTTCTACACATTCAACGAATAGTTTATATAGTGGTTATTACCTATGAATTTCTATTATGCGCATGTTCCAATAACAGTTATACTTTTATAAATATTTCTTGTACCTCTTATAGGATGATTTCTTAATTTGAATAAATTTTTGACTGATAAGGGTGTCATAATATGGCAATGTTTTCTTTCCTTTAGATTTTTTTTATGTCATAGGCCGGGCAACGTGCATACGGATTACGTGATGGTAAGCAATCAGCGCTGCCCATGGACACCCGCAACGGAGGAGTTACGAGTTCGTTGCCGATCTTTTAGGGATTAGGGATTTGGAGATTTTGGGATTGGGGAAGGGTCGGGGAAGGGTCGGGGTTGCTTCACGCCGGTCTTCTGTGAGGCCATGGTATCACTCCGGTCGAGCCGACCCATTCGTACCGAAGCATGGCTCTCCCACACTTATCTATAAACGAATTTAAGTATTCTTATAGTCAAACAAAATGATTATTTAATATTGATATAATAATCCGTGTTATCTTCCATTGTGGACTTTGTCATTAGTATCATTAGGTCCGTTTAATTTAGGATAGTGCAAGAAACTATGACTATCATTATTTTCAGGGTCTTTTTCACAATACCTGAAAAAACGGTATGTATCAAATAAATTTAAATGAACGATATTCATTAGATTCAAATTGGCGGGATTATTTATGCCAAAAAACTGTTTCTATAAGATGTCATGTCATAATTCCTCGTATTTTTTTTGTCAGGGGAAAATCATCAAACTACCTCTCCCGCTCAGGTTAAAGCGAGAGAGAGTGTCAGACTCTTACTGACTAAAAATCACCGTTCCTTCTCCCGCTTTGGGCCTAGGCCGCGGTGACTCATTGCGCTTACCCCGCAACCCCTTCTGAACATCAGCCCTATAAGGCCCCGTCTGTGGTGGTCTATTGGCTCTTTGAGGAGCGCGCGGAACGTCCTCTTGGTTCTGGATCTGGTCGAGCGCGAGCAACCCTTACTCGCCGTCCGCAGACCCGCGCTTACGATGGCTGGAGATTGTCACTCGATCCCCGACGCCTGGAATGTCGCCTACTGCGGCGGCTAGGGCGTGAGGAGGATAGTTCCTCCTTTGCAAGCATCACTGCTTCGCAGAAAGAGGAGACGGCTTCCCAGTTCCTCTCGCCCAGGTCGCCGCCACCGATCACTTCCCTGAAGACAAGGCGGAGCCCAAGCAGGGCACACCGCCACCGTGTCCTGGCTTTAGTCGAGGCCACGGTTTGTGGAATTTCTGGTGGCTAGGCCATAATTAAATTATTTTAAATAGTGTATTGGACTGGAATTTATTTTTTGTCATTAGATTAGTTGGCCTTTTTCACATCAACAGCCTATAAGTGCCAACTGCTGAGCCGAGGCCTCTTCTCAGAAGAAGAGAAGGTTTGAGCATTAATCACCACGCTTGCTCAATGCGGGTTGAAACTTATAATTAGTAATTATAAGTCTTGGTTTCCTCACTATGTTTACCTTCACCGTATTTTAGTGGTGTCTACATATAACTCGGAAAAAAGTCACATTGGTACTTGCCAGGTTTCGAACCCACCGACCAACCAACCCGAGAAGCGGGTGCCTTAAGCTCCAGGCCACCACGAGTTACCCTATTTACCAAATCCTAATCGCAGGCTCCATCCTAAGGTTGTCTGTAAGAAATCGCATCTAGCGATAAGACCGCTCACTGAACATTATATCTCAAGCTTTTCTGTGTTCATTTTGATGGTGTACAATGAAGAGTAAATAAATAGTTTGGCCTTAAGAGCTTATATGAAGGTGGTTTAACAGACTCCAAGTCTACAAAACCTAATCCTTCTTTCCTTCGCAGTCGGATAAGAAACTGATCTATAAGATAAAGCTTTTTGAGTCACACACATATTATCAGATAATTTTGTGTATAAATAACAACTACTTTTTGGAAAAATAAGCAATTTAGTTGGCAGTACTCCGGACTAAGTATTTGCATCTGTTTATAAATTAAATTATACCAAAAATAATTAAATAAAAAAATATTAACTTAAATCCAACTCAATTTTAATAATAAAATATTTTTTTAATAATAATAAAAAGTTTAAAAAAATTAATTATAGAGCTCATAAAAATATAACGGTCATTCCTTTTTTAAATTTCAAATTATCAGTTCCATTTTGAGTATTGCCAAAAAGGTAAGTAATATAATTTTTATTTATTTATTTTTATTTTACTATTAATTCTAAATGTTTTTCTTTACTAAAAATGACAAAAATTTCGATCAAGGTAACTGGCAATAAGCAATATAATGCAGCCTCAAATTGGCATTGCAATTATTACCATAATCATAATTTACATATATTAACTAGGTATTAGCTACCCTCGCGCGGTTCCACCCGCTGTCCAGCTCAATTTAATCGTAGCGTGATGATTAGAGATAGATGATAGCCTATAGCACTCAGGAACATTGTAACTATCTATCAGTGAAAGAATTTTGGCAATCCGACCAGCGGTTCCAAAGATTACCCCCTACATACAAACTTACAAATATTACCTCTTTATAATATTCTGGTCCGATTGCCAAAATTCTTTTACTGATAGATAGCTACAATGTTCCTGAGTGCTAAAGGCTATAAGACATCACGCTACGATTATATGCAGCTGAGCAGCGGGTGAAACCGCGCGAGAGTAGCTAGTGGCTAATAAATTAGAAAATTTGTACTGGTTTATTAAAACAAACTTGATTTCAATTATTTACTTACATATTTGTAAATGAATGGCGATGAGATTCTCTTTACTACAATTGGTCTGAGGTTTTATACAGATACATAAGCATAAGATCTTATAAATTGTAAAGAAATAAAATTTATCAAACAGACATCTAGTTTCAGTGAAACGAGTAGTCATGGCGGCCGACTCTGTACATTGGTACATGGAGGAGGTCGGAGCTCGAGTGGTGGCGAAGACTGGGATCCCTTCAGACAGATATCACCTCGGGAAGCTCATGCTGCATAGCTTACAAGACGATCCCGACTTTATTCTGCAGGTAATTAGGCACACTACCACTTGCCACTAAACTTGGTCTTGGACTTGGTCTCAATTATTCTGAAAGTTTTGAGGACTGGTGTGATACTGACAACCTTCCAAAAGTAGTTACAACTTAAAATTTCCAATTTTTTTTCGAGATTGGGAGTGTCAGGCTCTTACTGAGAAATAACTACTCCATCCCTTCTCCTTTTCCTGTGATAGGCAGCTGAATTTCTCCCCATCTAGTCAAATAGTCCAAAAAAGATCCATAATTACCTTCAGATCGATGGAGCGACAGGTGAATCAGAAACCTTCGGCTCAGCTTTAGACAGAAGCATCCGATGTGCTGTCTCCCTCAGCAACATGGGGCTGAAGAAGGGCGACGTCATGGTGCTGATGGGACCAAACCACATACATTTCTCAGTACCGCACAACGCAGCTCTGTATCTTGGTATCATGGTGGCATCCGTTGATGTTACTTTGGGAGTTTGTAAGTATGTTTTATAGAAATTTGATTATTTCTGATCTGATCTGATTATCCAGAAAATTGATCTCTGGCCTATGCTGAAAAAAATTATAAAATACACATGTGTGTGGGAGAGCCAAATGTGTCGGCTTGACTAAAATGATACCATGGCCTCACAGCGTTATGTTTTGCCGTGTGAGGTTACCGGATACCCCATGTTTCCCCTCCCCTGCCCTTAAATCCCCAAAAGGTTAGCAACGCATTCGTAGCTCCTTTCCTTCGTTGTTGTGGGTATCCAAGAGAGTCCAGGGCGACGCTGATTGCTTATCATCAGGTTATCCATCTGCTTGTTCTCTCTAAAGACAATAGCTCGATAAAAACCCTCCTTCAAAGTAAACCTAAATTTAATTTCAGACGAATTAACGAAAATATTTGAGACCAACAAACCGAAGATAATATTCTGTCAAAGTGAGAAGACGAAGGATATCGAGGAAGCGCTGAAGATGTCAAACTTGAACACCAAAGTTTTGACCTTCGATGAAGACGGTCAACATTCAACACTGTCCGATCTCCTTAAGGTGGAAGACCAGGATTCATTGAAGAACTTTAAGTAAGTACTTCAAAAAGCTCACTGGACTATCAAATTAAAGTTTCAGCAAGAATCCTGGGTTCTGAGCAGGATCTTGGTTACGCAAAGTATTTCTCTATCGAAAAATCCGACTAGGATCTGCAGTAAATATTAACGAGGAAAACACAAAGAACCGAAAAAAAATTTTTGTTTAGGCCACAGGGCACATAGACTTAAGTCTAAAAGACTACACAATAGTATAAATGTTCTATGGGTTTAACTTTACTTCATACAGGCGCTGCCTGCATTGACAGGACAAATAATATACACAACGGTTTTTGTGTTCCGGATTTAATGGTAAATTTAGATTTTTTATGAAGCAGATCGGGCCATCTGATGGTAAGCAAACGACGCCGCCCAAGGACCCTCGTAACACCAAAGGACTTACCGATATATAAATGTTAAATGTTAGAATTATTTGTATGTCTTATACCAGTGCCTGTTCACCTGCGCGAAAATATATTCTTAGGAGTTTCATAAACTTTAATAGGTAATCGTCTAATTGTTTATTTACCCAGGCCAGCAGACTTTGATCCAGATGAAACCATTGCATATTTGACATCAACTAGCGGTACGACTGGAGTTCCAAAAACTGCTATGCTCTCACACAAGAACTTTAGCATAGGATTGCGTTATATATGGTAAGTTGACGTTACCACATTTTTATGATCCTGGTGTAAACTGCTCATTTAGATCATTTCTTTGAGCTGCCAGAGCTTAGGTGTCTCACGTTTCGCATATTTTCCATTTAACATAATTAGAAAATATAAACTGACACGAGTGCCGAAGTTTCTCTTACTTTAAAATTACCAATAACGTATAAATACCAACGTTGGCAAGAGCTGCTAAATTAACTCATGGACTGCCTTAAGTAGACAATCAAACAATAGCGAAAACAAATTTCAACATTATAAAACACTTTTTTCTCCAGGACGAAATTTTCCAAGTTCCCGACGCCCACGAAAATGGTGTTAGTGACATCACCAGCTCAGTGGCTATCAGCTGGGATCCACTACATCTTCTCTTCAATAATGAAGTATACTCGATTGCAGACATCAGCTACTGTCACTCCGGAGCATTTTGCTGAACTTGTCAACAAATATAAGGTACAAAATGATCATGTTCATTTTTTTTGCTTCATGATTGTGATTTTTGTGTGCCCTAAATAAATTTATTTTCTTTCTTTCTTTCATGTATCTTTACCACCAATGCAAAAAGAGCAATTCTAAGTCAATAAGTTCAATAAATTAATAAGTCCTTATCACCTTACTCATCACTGACTTCCTAAAGCAGAAGAATTGAATCCACATGAATCGTATTTAGGCTCACTGTAATAACCTTCACAGACATACGTAAATTGTGTTGTTATTATTTTGAACGAACTTTTTTGGCAATATTTTATTTTTTATCCAGATTCACACTAACATTTTACCTCAGACCACAATTCCAGACTTGGTACAAGTATTTGCCACTGAAAAGCGTAGAAGGGTATTCAATATTGACACTTCGGTCCTTTTGCAGCCAACCTTCCACGCTACCGGTCCTAATATAATTCTGACGATGATAGCAAAAGCTAAATGTGACTTCACCTGCTTCGAGTTCATAGTGATGGGGGGCAGTGCTGTAACACAGGATGTTGTTGACGAAGTGAAGGTAAGGGAGATAACAAAAATTAAAAAGTAAAATTTGGCAATAAGATTTCATTAATCCTTAGAATAAATATTATAACAATAATATGCTATTATTTTTGTAGTACGTGCCAGCAAACGAGCAGATGGATCATTTGATGGTAAGCAATCACCCATGCAAATTAGAGGAGTTACAAGTTTGTTGCTATTTGGAGATTGGGGATGGGGGTTTCCAGTCACATTATTCACGTGGTGAACCACGACGAGCTTAGTTTCACGCCGGTTTTCTGTAAGGCCAATGTAACTCTGCTCGAGCTCGCACGAATATTTTAATTCGTGCCAGCGTGGACTAAAACCTGTACCACACAGCCAATCCCACATTGCACTACACTGACAACAACAAGTTAAATATTAACATGAAAAATATGTCGCATGCTAAATTACAGAATCAACTAAGAGGCTTCTCTTTATCTGATTGAACGTAGTAAATGACTGTACATATGTAGTATTTTGATATTTTATTTTTTGTGCAGTCAGCTAATAATGACGATTGATCTTGTTTACAGAAAGTCGCACAAACTGATCATGTATATGCCATGTACGGAATGAGTGAAGCTTGTGGATTGGCTGTACAGCCGGACTACTATACTCCACCTGGATCTTACGGGAAACCAATACACGGCTTACAATTGAAAGTAAGTAGATTTGATCCTCGCTCAGAGAATCATTAAGTAAAGGAATAATAAATTATGGACACATGGAAAGATTAAAGTAAACAAAATTAGGGAAATTATTTTTACGATGTTATGCTTCCTAGGCAAAGTAAAAATCACTTTTGGACGTCAAACGAAGCTGAATGATAAAAAATTACAGTTTGTAGATCAGTTTTCTTAGTAAAGCAATTTTCCCGTTCCGAAGAAGAAGAATTAGCAACAAACAACATGGGTTTTTCAATCACTTGCCCAAACTGATAACTGATCATCTTGATTTATATTCCAAACAACTGTATTCACAACTGTTCTATGACCAGCAAACTTACTTACGTCAGGCTAATAAATAACAGCAAAAGCTTGTGTGACGTTATTTCAATCTAAATACTAATCTTTGTTTCAGCTGGTAGATCCTAACACAAACGAAGAGATCACAGAACCCAATGTTCCTGGAGAAGCATGGTTTAAAGGTCCTAGTGTCTTTAAAGTAAGTGTTTCATTTGTGTAAACTTTATATCAACTCCTTGATAGATAAATAACCGACCGACAGCAGCTACCAGTTCGACCAATATCAATTCTTTTATCCCTTTTGCCATTATCTATATAATAGTTTGCTGTTTAGCTTCTTTTTCATCATCACTCTTATCAGAATGGTGATGGACTTTAGAATCCACTTCTATTATTCCCGCCATATTACCATTTTTATCTTTAACATCAATTACAACACAAGTGCACGCATATTTTTCTCCTACCCTCTACTTTTGTTATATTGTAGTATAATTCTTAATGTATTTTTATTTTTACCTTTATTTTATTATTGTTCGTTTTGTGTCTTTTATGCGTCCCAGACGCGAATGAATACTTTTTGTTTGTTTGTTTGTTTGTTTAAGTGCATTGCTTTAAGGGAAATTGAACAAAAGCGTTGTTTTCGCAGGTTTTCTATTGTATATGGTATGGCTATCCTACGTAACATATTGATCATAAATATATGCTATCTTTCCGCAAAATCTTAAATAAAAACCTATTAATTTTTTGTTTTATATTCACAGGGGTATTACAATAACCCTGAAGTGACGAAGGCGACTATTACGGAGGACGGCTGGCTGAAGTCTGGAGATATTTTGTACAGGGATCAGAACTGGAACCTGTTCTTTGTGGACCGATACAAGTTACTGTTGAAGTATAAAAATCATCATGTCAGTAGAATGCTATCCAAACCAATATTATAAATTTGAGGGTAACTGTGTCTGTCTTTTCTTCACGCCTAAACTACTGAAACCGATTTCTGTGAAATTTGGTACAGACATCGTTTGGAACTCGAGAAAGGACATAGAATAGTTTTTATACCAAAAATCTGCAGGAAATCACAATGCCACGCGAACGAAGTGCCGGCAAAAGCTAGTCCTTAAGAGTATACATAGCACCTAAAACTAGACAGGAGCGTACTTTGCTTAGCTTTTCGCGTGGGCTTAGGGCCAATTTACCAAAGATGGGGCCAAATAGTGCCGATCTATAGCCGGAGCTGTAGCGCAAGCGTAATAAGGAATGGGGTGGATTTAATCAGTAAGAGTCTGACACCCTTTCGCCTCTCTCCAGTAAGCGAGAATCCATTGGATAAATATACATAGCATTTTAAATTATAAAGCCCAAAGAAATACCTAATTAATTGGTAAACTGACTCAAAAAGTAATTTTGTATTGCTTATTTAGGTGTCTCCAGTAGAAGTTGAAGAGGTGATCATGAAGCACCCTGGAGTATTCGAAGTGGCTGTGACAGGTATACCAGATAGGGAGTGCGGGGACCTGGTGGTGGCGTTTGTGGTGCCCAAGCCTGGGTGCAGCCCAACAGCGCAAGAGATCAAGGATCTGGTCAAAGGTAGATAGATAAGTCTCCAACAATCTGATCCCCATCCTTCAAAGAGTGGAATTGGTTTCAATTGGTGAACGAAAGTCTGTGTAATATTCACGTCTAAACTAATGGTGATCGAATATCTCGGTCCGGTTGGACTCTTTGGCACTACGTAGGAATGTAGCCTTGCTATTACCTGCCCTACATTGACGATACTCAGGGAGTGTTTCTAAATATTATTCTTTCTTTTCGCCTTCGACTCAAGGGTAAACATTTGCACCTCACCCATCATATAGATATGGCAGTCAACAACTGGGCAATTTTCGTGTAACTGTCTACCTTGAACAGCAAAACTTTGGAATGATAGAGGCTGTATTTTCAAACCAATAAAATCTTTAAAACCTTAAGAAAAGCGACTAGCGATACTCCATTTTAAAATGCCAAAGCACATGTTACTCCTCTAGTATTTGAGGTATCCATAGGCGGCGGTTCATCTAGAAAGTAGTAGTATATACCTAAGTAGTCTAGTTTATTGTGTAGGTAGCCTAGAAACCACCTAGGCTAATACTCTTCCTCAAACCCCCTCCATTATTTGGAAAAAGCCGTATTAATGCGGTTAAGTAATGTAACATAATTTAGGGTTATTATATATAATGATGAATCTTTATTTTTATTCCAGAATCGCTGACTGATTCCAAGCAACTAAGAGGAGGTGTCATTTTCTTGGAAGAACTGCCATTGACTAGCACATCCAAGGTCAATAGACAAAAACTTAAAGAAATAGCACGAACCTTGCCCAGAGAATGAAATTTATAATATTGATTTGTAATAAACAAAAATAAATGTATTTAACAAAAGAAGCTTCCTATTTTCGATCAATTTAAACAGTGGTTCAGTATAAAAACACCTTATGCAGATTAATATACTATGAATCGGATTATTATATTGAGGATAAAATTGCTTGGAAGCATGCGTTTAAGTGCAGTTACGAATAGGTTGGCTCAACCGCAGTGATACCCTCTCCAAACATGCGCTCAAGAGACCAGCAGTCAAGGCTCGAGATCTTCCGAGGCCAGGACCCTTGCTGCCATGCCTATGCTGGCAGATCTTTAGGTCATATTTTGTGAGGGTAAAATAGGGTGAGTTGAGAGGAAGTGTCAGGCTCTTAGTGACTCCCCACCCCCATCCCTGTTCCTTTTCGTGCTCTATGCCGAAGGCAAGTACTTCATTGCACTTGCCCCGTAAGTCCATTAGGTTCTGGGCAGCATACTTGGGCACCAGTCGGCTCTCTTAGTTCTACCTCGGTCACCAGCGGAAAAGGTGTGGTCGTCATTATTCAAAAACTTACATTGTATCTTGGAATGCATATTAAGTAGGCTTCTCGAGATCGTATTTTCCTTAGATCGTTTTAGTTGGGTCGATATGATGTGAGGCAGACAAGCGAAGTCAAATTTGTAATTTATTAGTTTAGTTGGTATCAATCAAACCAAGAATGTACATGTCTTGAATGGCATAAAACATTACGATTTCCGTTGGAAATACCAGTACGAATTTTTATGCTGAATAGAATGAATGACCTACAATGTTAACCCAATATTTGTATGAGAATAAAGTTGAAAGTGAAACTGAGTTAATTAATCTTTGTCCTTTAGAAAAAACAATTATGTAGAGGTTATATAAAATAATAATTAATCTTACCAAAATAACTCCGTAACTTTGAATCCCCGAAATAGTAAGAAGGCTCAACAAATAGCGATAATGGTGGTGATCTTTCGTATATTCTTCCTATCGAGAGCTTATGTCACACTATTGGACATTTCCATTAGTTTTGTTATAAAGGTCCTATCATATAGGAACAGAGAATAAATGAAAAAAAAAGTTCCACGTTAAAAAAAATTGAATTTTAAAGCACAGAATTTTAATTACGGTGCCGCCTATGGACATGTGCCACAGAGGAAATACAAATGCGTTGCCGACCTTTTTGAGATTAGGGTTTTGGATATTTAGGGATTGGGGAGGAGGAGGATGGAGCCTTCGGTAACCTCAATCATATGGTGAAACACAATGGTGTTGTGGTTTCATGTCGGTATTCTGTGAGGCCGTGATCATTCCAGACGAGCCGACCAGTTCATGCCGAAGCTTGGTCTACCCTCATTTTTTGGTCACCTTATGGTACCTCTTCTTTTTTGTCAGGGTCAGCATAAAAAATATGTATGTCCCATGGAAATCGTAATGTTTTATGCTATTCAAGACATGTACATTCTTAGTTTGATTGATACCAACTAAACTAATAAATTAATAACTTTGCCTTCGCTTGTCTGCCTCACATCATATCGACCCAATTAAAACGATCTAAGGAAAATACGATCTCGAGAAGCCTACTTAATATGCATTCCAAGATACAATGTAAGTTTTTGTATAATGACGACCACACCTTTTCCGCTTGTGACCGACTCTCACTAACTAAAACCCCCCCGTTCCTTCTCCTGCTCCAGACCTTATGGCCCTTCTCAATCCAAGGAATGTTATTTTAAACCACGATCTGCTCTGGCAGCATGAGTTTTGATTATAATCATTATTTATATCAGTAAGCGACGCAACTGAAATAACTGATATATGTATGATTAGCAGACACGGATTAAAGATATTTTGAACGTCAATGTACTAAAATAATTATGATTAGAGATAAGATGTAAGATTATAATAATTTATTAACATAACATTAGAGCTATGGGGTAAACAAATACTTCTAAGGTAGAGAACACACTACACGATTTGAAGAATTAATATTTTTTCTCGCTCATGTGTACCCATCAAGTAAGCACTAAATGAAGTGTTGTGGTCGCTTTTTTAAAGGGATGAATTATTATTTAATGCCACGCGTGTTGAAGGATTACTCCCTTATTAAGCATAGTTACTTCTCAAGTTTCTCGTTAAATACGATAACCAAGTTTTCCTGCATGTGATACAATATTCTAGTCGTGTCGGTAGAAAATTTTAAAATACAAAATATACATCACAAAATTTTGAACTTTTTAATTCATGAAACCCCAAGCGAACGCCAGCTTTTGCGCACTTTCTTTTTTGTCTTTTTTTTATTATTATTATGACTCGAATTGCCACGATTGTAAGGTCCTTTGGAGGGTAGATCCAGTACACGAAACACTATTGAGACCTATCGATAGTTACCGCCTCGTCGGGCACCTGGCTGGAAGGGGGCCGGATTTAGCGGACGGCCAGTTCGGCTTCCGCAGAGGGCGCTCCACGGTAGACGCCATCATGCGCGTGAGGGACCTCACGACGGGGACTGCGTTGGCCAGGGGGCGAGTCGTCGTGGCGGTGTCTCTGGACATCGCCAACGCCTTCAATTCGTTGCCCTGGAGCTGCATTCTGGAGGCACTCCGGTACCACCGGGTGCCTGCCTATCTCCGTCGTGTAGTCGAGGCTTACTTGACGGACAGATGCGTCATCTACCCCGGTCACCGGGGCGTGTGGAATCGGCGAGAGGTGTCGCGCGGTGTTCCACAGGGATCGGTCCTGGGACCTCTCCTGTGGAACATCGGGTACGATTGGGTGCTACGCACCGACCTCCCGAGCGGCGTCAACATTGTTTGTTATGCTGACGACACGCTGGTGCTGGCGAATGGGAGGTCACATCAGGCGGCGGCCGACCTGATGTCGCAAGCGGTCGCGACAGTCGTTGCAAGGATCCGGCGATCGAGGTGGCGCTTCACAAATCCGAGGCCATGTGTTTTTATGGCCGTCGGAACGCGCCAGCTCCAGATGGGTCCCAAATAATGGCAGGAGGAGTTACCATCGGCGTCGAGTCGGCGATGAAGTACCTGGGTCTCGTCCTCGACAGCCGATGGAACTTCACGGAGCATTTTCGTCGTTTGGCTCCTAAGTTGGAACGGTCGGGGGCCGCGCTCAAGCGGCTCCTTCCCAACCTCGGGGGGCCAAACGCCTCCTGCCGGAGGTTGTACATGGGGATTGTGCGATCCATGGCCCTCTACGGTGCCCCTGTGTGGGCGCCGGATTTGAAGCGGCGGCCGGCTCGTACACTGGTCGCGTCCCAGAGGGTCATGGCTATCCGGATAATCCGCGGATATCGCACGATCTCCGGGGAGGCGGCGAACCTCCTTGCCGGATCACCGCCATGGGATCTGGAAGCGAAGGCGCTCGCGCGCGTCTACAGTTTGCGCGCAGACGCGCGTCGCCGGGGCGACGATCCTCTGCCGCGCCAAATTAGTGCGTGGCGGAATGAGCTCCGGCGAGATCTCATGGCTGAGTGGAAGCAGCGACTGTCGCAACCGAGGGCCGGGCACGCTACTATAGCAGCGGTAAGACCCCTCTTTGAGGAGTGGCTTGAGAGACGCCACGGCGTCCTCACCTTCCGCCTGACGCAGGTGCTTACCGGGCACGGCAGCTTTGGTAGGTTCCTGTTTCGGATCCAGCGGGAGGAAACGCCCGAGTGTCGTCATTGTGAGGATCACCTGGAGGACACGGTGGAGCATACGGTGGCGGAGTGCCCTGCTTGGGCTGAGCACCGCCGTGTTCTCAGGGAAGTGATCGGCGGCGGCGATCTCTCGCGCCCGGCCTTAATCGAGGCCATGGTGCAGCGTGAGAGGAACTGGGAAGCTATCTCCTCCTTCTGCGAAGCAGTTATGCTCGCAAAGGAGGAGGCGGAGCGCGTGAGGGAACTATCCTCCTCGCGCCCCAGCCGCCGCAGAAGGAGACATTCCGGACGTCGGGGATCGAGAGTTGATCTCCGGCCACCATAAGCGCGGGTCTGCGGACGGCGAGTAAGGGTAGCTCGCCGCCCAACCAGAACCGGACCCGAGCGTACGGCGCGTAGCGTTCCGCGCGCGCCTCAAAGAGCCAATAGACCACCACAGTCGGGGCCCTAAAGGGCTGATGTTTAGCCGGGGCTGCGGGGTAAGCGCAATGAGGCACCGCGACCTCGGCCCAGAGCAGGAGAAGGAACGGGGGGGTTTTTAGTCAGTAAGAGTCTGACACTCTCTCTCGCCTTACCCTGGGCGGGAGAAGACATTGGATGATTTTCCCCTGACAAAAAAAAAAAGACCTATAGATAGTTGTTCGCAACGCTGACTACTACAGTATGCCTACCATGACGTGTTATAAGCGTGAATCTTCCGGGCGAGAGCTATACACCTTTAACCTGTCATGGTAGGCCCTCAGATCATTGGAATCGCTTTGTTTGAGATGAAGTTTTCAAAGAAATTGAACTAAATTTTACAAGAGAAACAAACAACTAAATTGATTGAAAACTATTACTAATAACATTATTGGTCAAGACGACATGTTGGGGAAAATAAGGATACATCCAAACATTTTAAATTTAGAATTTATGAAATTAATATACTATTTAATTTTCCACTCAACTGAATTCAATGGAATTGTCGCGAATAAAGTAATTAATTTATCATTCTGACACTTAATGAATGTATTTTAGAAAGAGACAGCAATATGTTGCCTATGTGAAATTTGATCGATTTGTAAAATGTTATCCTTTTTCTTCTCACTCAAAAGTCAAAATCATTTATTTCAATTAGACCACAGTAGGCACTTTTGAACGTCAAGCAAAAAACAGGAAAAAGTATTTCAAGAGCTTCAACTTTAAGCGTGTCAGTCTGTCCGTCTGTCCTCTAGTGAAGCTATTTGCTCGTTCCAAAGTGTAGATTCCTATGGAGAAGAACGAGCAAGAAAGTCCATGGTTACTCTTTTTCAATCAGTTTTACAATTCTGTTCAGTTTTACATTTAGTCTGTTCCGTTATGTGAGAACAGTGTAACACTAATGTTTAGGCAAAGAATCCGAAAAGGAAGTTAACC